TATATCTGGTGATCTAAGCAACTACTCTGAAGATAACAATATGCAACATAATAACCATTGTTAATTTCCCATCATCTTGTTTTGAAATTCTGTATCATTTTTATTGTTTTTTTCATCCTCTTTAAAATAAAAAATTACCTTCTATTCTCTTTAAAAATATTTCTATTAGGACATTTTTAAAATCAGTAACTTTGGAAAGTCAGTGTCTATCTGGAGAGATGCAGACACAGCTATGCCAACACAGGTCCCTTCCATAGGTGGCCTCCAGTGACACACAGGATCTAGCACCTCCCTCCCTACCACTGACGTGAAAGAGCTGCGCTGCCGCAAGCAGGACTCCTGTCCTTCTCCTCCCGCACAGCATCACACTGCCTGAAGTGTAACGACTCCTGGTGCCTGACCTGCTAACAAACCACCTGGAACTCACCACCAGATCAGCCCTGGCCTTAGCCCTGTCCTGCTCAGGGCCCCCTCCCTGCCCTACCGGCTGGAAGCAGTTGGCCCTGAGACTCACCCCAGTAGAAGCCTTACCTCCACCCTGCTGTCCTCTGCCCTGCGGCTTCCAGAACGGCCACCCAGAAAGCAAAGCTACCTAAGGCTTTCCGCCCTGGCCTCCACGCCTCCCCTCCTCCATGAGAAACCATTCTATCCATCACCCCAGCAGACAGTCAGAGCCTCTTGCCCAAACTGTGTAGGATCTTAGTGGGGACAGAGCAATCCTGCATATTTTATATTTTATTTCATTTCCTATTTTTCTGTATTTTTAAATACACTATAACCCAATATTTCATTTGTTCCTATCAGCCGCCCAATAAGAAAGGAAGAGGACTTTAATTTTACAGATAGTAGGGGCTGGGGATTTAGCTCAGTGGCAAAGCGCCTGCCTGGCAAGTGCAAGGTCGTGAGTTCAGTTCCTGGTACCGGAGAAAAACCAAAAAACAATTTTTTTACAGATAGTGAGCTGAGGCTCTGAGACATCCTGAGGCATCACATCAACACATGGTAAGAGTTCTAATTAGAAAACAATTTTACATTCTTACTTACCGTGTGGAACGCATAAATACAAGGCAATATGTAACACCCCTAAGAAGCTGTGTAAATCTTCACTGAAGGTTATATAACAGAAAAAAGTAAGAGAAACATGCATGTGTTCTTCAAATTCACTACAACTGGCTATTTATTTATTTGCAACCTTTCACACAATGAAACTAAGCTATCATTTCCTGAGCACTTAATATACGTCTAACCTGTCACACAGATTATTTCATTAAGCCTCGCCAAAATCAGCTGTGTGGTCACACTACCCTCCTTTCAAGAGAAAGGGAACAAAAGTCAAAAAAAAGAAAAGAAAGAAAGAAAGAAAAGCCAGGATCTTGCAACCACATCAGTATCCACAATGAAGAAAAAGGTATAAAATTGTAAGGTATAATTTATATTGCTATTCTGCTAAATTGTAAGGTTATAATGGTTCAAACAGTGTGGCTCTGGCAAAGAACATACTTCTAATGACACAAAAGATACTTTAGAAGAATTAAATGTATACATAATTATATGTGATAAAAAGTATAACTTCAATACAATGAGAAGGAGTGAACACTAAGGGAGGCTGTAAAAATTAGTTATTTGGAAAGAAATAAATGATTCTTAACCACTCATTAAAATTCTAAAAACTCAAAAATAAATTCCAAATAAAATGTTAATGCACAATTTTTTTTAAAAGCAGGAGGAGAAAGTTAAGGTGGGTATTTCTCCTAACACACACACACACACACACACACACACGAGCTGGGGAAGCATGAGGGACGGAGACAGAGAGAGGGAAGCATGTTTTAGAAGTCTGGCATCTAGCGGGGCAGGGTGGCACACACCTATAACCCCTGCACTCTGGGAGGCTGAGGAAGGAGCACGGTAAGATGGAGCCCAGCCTAGGCAACTTGGCAACCTAGTAAGACCCTACCCCAAAATAAAAAAGGGCTAGGGGTACCTCTCAGTGCAAAAGCTGAATGGAACACCTCACAAAAATGTTTGACATCTATTAGCTAAGTTATGATTTTCTGCTTATGATTACGGCATAATATGATATAATAATAATAAAAAATGGAGTTTTTAAAGTGCAGTTTTAAAAACACTGCAAAAGTCAAGTGATGAAAAGCATTAACAATATGGGATTATGTTTACGATGTATTAGGGGGAGAAAGCTCTCTACAGGACATAAAGAATATGACTCATCTAACTTTGCTAAAACATTCAGATACATGCATTAGAAAAAAACTGGATGGGGCTGGGGATTTAGCTCAGCGGCACAGCGCCTGCCTGGCAAGCGCAAGGTCGTGAGTTCGATCCCTGGTACCAGAAAAAAAAACAATTGTAAAAGAACCGGGAGTGGTGGCACAAACCTATCATCTCAGCACTCTGGAAGGCTGACGGAGGAAGCAAATTCAAGTCCAACCTGGGGGAACATAACAAGACCCTGTCTCAAAATAAAAAATAAAAAAGGTAGCCCAGTGTAAGGTTCCTGGATTCAATCTCCAGTACTGCAAAATGAATGTATGCATGAATGAATAAATGAATGAATGAATGAATGAATGAATGAATGAAAAGTTAGAAAAGTATATACCAACATGTTAATAGCGACCATCTCATCTAAGTGACATGATGATCTTTATCTGCACTTGATTTTAATGTTTCAAACACTGTATAATCAACTTCCATAAACAAAAAACCTTATAATGAAAGAAACAAATAATTCAATATCTGAAATAAAAATCAATGGTTTGATAAGAACTTAACATTCTAATAAAATTGATTCTGATTAAAATCATGTCAAAGCTCAAAAGCTCAGAGAACCACTAAACTCAGAATCACAGCATGTTTGAGTTTACTCAGTAAAATGTGACAAACTGTAAGAAAGACTGCCTGAGGTACAGAGTGTGCAGAGTGTGCATAAAAGAGGAGGAAACCTCTAAGGGAAGGCACTTGAGTGGGGAAGGGACAGTTGGCCAACTAGATAAACAGAGAGACAGAAAAGGGAAAGCATACAGCAGCATGTGAGCAAAACACAGGTGTTACTGGTATTTTACATTTTTCTGGAAAGCAGAGAGTTTACAGAACAGCCGTCCCCTGTGAGGATATCCCCACGAGCTAAGGCAGGAAACACAGGCTCTAACCATGCAGGCTCTGTATGCTGTGCCTTGAGTCTGCACCAGGGTTTCAAATTCAGGCAGAAAACACAAGCACATGCATGAAATAATGGAACCTTGGGCAATGGGACTGTGGATCCCTCTAGCCTGAGCTGACCCCAGCCCATGGGCGGGATTCCACACACAGGACCCAATGCTGACCTGTAAGCAGAGTTCCTGACGGCGAGGAGAAGGGCTAAAGTCAGTGGGTGGCGATGGTGACAGCAGAGCAAGAACGAACACTCTGTGCCCATCGGTAGTGACAACTACCTTGCAATCTAAGCTCTCTCTCTATTACTCGCATCACTGGCGTGAGATGTATGTGGAATTTTGAGGGCAGAAGAGTTGCTTCCAAATCCCTCTGTCACTTTTGCCTCTGAATGAGACAATTCTTTTCATTTTTGTAGAAAACAAGTAAGTGTGCCATCCCTTCCTCCTGTCTTACCCATACCTGCTGCCCATCATGCCCACAGTGGCCTTTTATGCTCTGCCCCTCATCCCCCTGCAGCATGTTCTCCACTCACCAACATCTTGACGCTGACACTGCTAGCTCTCTCCCTTCAGAATCTGTTACATCCTGGAGGGCTCCTCTTAGTAATGCTCTGCCTAAGAACTTTGAATATTTTCAATTAACTGGAGCATAAAGTGACTGCTCTTCAGTGTTTTACCACTCAAACAAGACCAGCTTCAGAAGTGACAAAATTGGTGATGGTTTTGGGTAGTGTACACTTTAAGGGCAAGTGGGAGCGTTTTTTAAAAAATAATTATAAGATTACCTTATCTAAACAGACCTTACATTTCTTTCAAGTATTGCTGACCCTATTAAATCAAACCTTTGATTAATTCAGTAAAGAGTTTACAATCAATTCACCCTACTCAATAAAAACACAAAGTGTAAATTCCTCCAACTTTTATTAAGAGTACTAACCTCTTAGAAGAGAAAATATATGCCATGTACTATTTTTAGTCACTTGTGACATTTTTAATTGAGCTTTCAAAGGAGGAAGAACTCAATACACTGATCACACCTTCTCTCTTACGTGTTAAAATCCTACCAAGCAATGTACAAGATAAAAATTCCACTTCTCTTCTTTCACAGAATCTCATCATGTTCATCTTGAAAGGCGTTTTTCTAAATCTTCTCAATACTCACTTGGCATAAGCATTTCTCCTGTTAATCTCTTTTTGGGAAGAAGCAGAAGTTGTGCTAAAACTTCTCCTAAAACCTAGATATGAAAGTTAAGGTTAGAAGAGGAAAAATAAATCACACATTTTTAGTTCTTATTCAAAGTTCTCTTTTATCATCTCTTCTGTAAATGTTCTAAGATATCAAAGGTTTCTTTGGAGAAAGGCAAGTACACATACAGAACATAATTGTACTTGAGATTTCTTGACAGATTTTTATTTTACTTTCTTGATCAAGCTATATTCATATAGGAATAAGTTAAGATTATCTCTGGAGATTTTACTCTATGATTCCTTGAAAATATAGTAAAACAATTATATAGTGATAAAGCTGATTCCATTTATTATAATTCAAATCTTACACTCTTGATAATCATATGAAAAAAGGCTACAATAATTTTTTAAACATTATCATTAAAGGTATCTCATTTATAAAGCACTTAACAATATGCTTCTGAACTCATGACTGTTACCATAACCCTAAGAAGAGTTTAAAAAGACTTTACAGAAGGTAAACTTTTAAAGAGGAATAGGTAGATGTGCTGAAAGAAATTCTTGACAGAAAAGAATCTACAACTGTAACTTTTTAAAAGAAAATACTGTTAAACTGGCACAATAGTACAATTTCAACGAGGCTAAAAAACAAAGAAACCATGAGAGCAGGCACCAAGCAATATGCTATCTTGTATCATAGGATTTCTATTCCTAGGAACAGAGACCCTGGCTGCACGGGACCAGGAAGGAAGCAAGGAGTCCTTGTCCCGGAGGGCTCTCCCACAAGACTCCTGCTGAAGGGGGCACATGCTCAGTGCAATCATTATGAGAAACAAAGGAAACACAGTTTCAGTGATGAGAAAGGAAAGTGGCTCATGTTAACCTTCATGCTCAGCAGAAGGCAAAATTTTCTCTCCTCATAATTTCTGACCATGAGTTAAATTCATGTTATCTGTGTAATAAAAAAAAAAATTGTAGAGACTATAAATTAAAGCAGTCTCGAGTTGGCAGTGCTTCCAGGTGACTAGCAGCAGTAAACATAAGCTCTGGAAGCATCAACACAGGCCTCAGAAAACTCTCATCTACAAAATTCTGAGTAAGATAAGCATCTCACGATAATACATTACAAAAATCACAAGGCAAGAGGTGCCATGAGTTAGGCTTAGCAGGAACAGATGGCAGAATCAGACTCCCAAAAACTTAAGATATTGAACTACTTCATACAAAATAAAAGACTTAAAGTATTTGAAGACATAAAAAAACTTGAAAATATGGACAAATAAGTGATAGTAGCAAGCAGAGTTGCAAAGAGAAAAACATAAAATTTTATAATTAATAAATTTGTGGCTGGATTAAGCAGCAGAATTAACAAAGCTGAAGAGAGAATTAGAAAATACATAAAGGCTAACTCTGAAGACATCGAAATGTGACCCTACAGGGCAAGTTGTGAAACATATAAAAGAGGCATGGGAAAGAAAATGTGCAACTAACACACAACCAGAGTTTCAAAAGGAGACAATAAAGAGAAAGGAAGCGAAATATTTGAAATGTAATTGACAAGAACTTTATAGAATTAATTAAAGATATCAATGGTTAGATCCAGGAAGACACCTGATTTCAAACAAGATACATGAGGAGAAATCTCCACCCAGAAACATCATAGTAAAACTCTAATTCAAAGGAAATAGGGGGGGCTGGGGATTTAGCTCAACGGCAAAGCGCCTGCCTGGCAAGCACAAGGTCGTGAGTTCGGTTCCCGGTACCGGAAAAAAAAACAAAAAAACCAAACAAAACAAAACAAAGGAAATAGGGATCTTTAAAAATAGCCAAAAAATTTTAAAAATAAAGTCACCACAATAATTGAGATTAGTTAGACTCACAGTGACAGAAGTCAGAAAACTAGAGAATGATTCACGATATCAATGTTCAGGAAGACAGTATTTTTCAACCTACAATTTTAAACCCAGAAAAACCATCACTGGAAAAGGTAAACAAAAACAGAGATTGAACACGAGGTTAAAAACAAAATGATCCAAGTAGAAGTTGTGGGGATTAATAAAAACACTAGTAAATACATGAATACTACATTAAGAGTTCAGATCTAAAATGTTTCCCAAAAGTCTCATGCTCAGAGGTGGAGCTTTTGGAAGGTGATGGAATCATGAGGGGGCTACACTCATCCGTGTTACAACCACAGTTCGTAACTAAATGTGCTATTTGAAGGTGGGGCCTGGCTGGAAGCGGGTCACTGGGGGTGTGACCTAGAAGATGTATTCTTGTCCCTGGCTCTTCTCACCCCCTCCTGCTTCCTGACTACCACGGGACAACAGTTTTCCTTTGTCAAGCTCTTCTACCACCATGTTTCTCCCTTGGAGCCAGCCAACCATGGCCTGAATCCCCTGAACCATGAGCCCAAGTAGACCTCTCCTTTACATTGCAGGTATCAGGTATTCTGTCCCAGCAATGGAAAAGCCAACTAATGCAATGAGTAACTTAAATAAACCACTATATAAAACTTGATCATAATGTTAAATATACAGGAAAACATAAAATAGAAACATGACAATTCCACTTCTAAAGATTTTCTATAATTTGGAAAGGTATACAAATGATTAGACTTTGCAGTGTACATTAAATTATCTATAGAAATGACTAAAATGTTCATTCACAGTATAACTTATATTCAAGTAAAGGAAGGTAAACAGAATGGATTAAATAGTAAGAATGTAACTAGAAGTCAAGAGAGGAAACCATTTGCTATGCACAAAAAATGGATCAAGTAGAAAGCAAAATAGCAAAACTACTATCACTAATATATCAGTAGTTACAATAAATTCAAATGGGTGAAACTTTTATATTAATGACATTGTCAATTGGTTTTTTTCAAAAAAGTAAAACCCAACCAATTATATTCTATTTAGGAAATAGTCTAAAAGCATGATGGAAAGCTTACAAATCAATTGGTAGAAAAAGATGTATCAGGCAACACTTAACCAGAAGAAAGCTGGTAGAAGGTAAAAAGAATTATTATAAGACCAATACCATTTACAGTAGCACCAAAAAAACTAAACACATTAAGTATATATCTAGCAACATATACAAGGTCCATGTGAAGAAAACTAAAAATTTCTGAAGAAGAAAATCAGAAAACACACACACTGGCCTCCTCCTTATCCTTAAGATGTGTTCCAAGACTCCCAGTGGATGACTAAAACCAGGGACAGTACTGAGTCCAATACTGTATATACAGTACTGTGTTTTTTCCTACATATACATGTCTATGATGAGCTTGCACCTTTTCACTTAAGGAGGCACTTTTTCCTCTTTCACATATCTGAATTTCCAGCATTATTCTTCTCATACTCTAGACCCATTATTAAGTAAAATTAGCATTACTTAAACACAAGCAATACTGCAACGGTCAATCTGGTAACCCAGAGAGGGCTACTAAATGACCAAGAGGCAGGCAGCACATACAGCATGGCTCTGCTGGATAAAAGGGCGATTCACGTCCTGGGCAGGACAGAGCAGGACAGCACGAGAATCCATCACACCACTCAGAATGGTGCACAACTGAAAACTTATGAATTGTTGAGTTTTGGAATTCCCTCATCTGGTATTATCAGAGTACAACTGCCTATGAGTAACTATCCCTGTAGAATGACCAACTGTAGATTCAGGGAGACTACTGTAAATAAATGGAGAGCCAGTCCACATCCATAGACTCGGTAGTAAGATGTCAGCTCTTCTCAACCTGATCTCTACATTAAATGCAATCCCAATCACAATGCCAGGCAGTTATTTTATGGATTTCAACAAAATGATTGTAAAGTTTATGTGGAAAGGTAACAATATCAAAGGAGAACAGTGTTCCCTTCGGCAGCACATATAATATCAAAGGAGAACAAAGTTGAGCGATTGATACCACTCAAATTGAAGAATACCATAAAGCTAATGTAAGCAAGACAGTGTGGTGAAAGAACACAAATACATCAATGGAAAGCCCAAAAATAGATCCACATAAACACAGTCACCTGATCCTTGACACAGGATCAAAGACACAATGGAGAAAGGACTTTTTAACAAGTGATGCTGCAACAACTGGACATCCGCATGTAAAACCCTCATCTAGATACAGACCTTACACCATCCACAAAATTGAACTCAAATGCATCCTAGACCTAAATGTAAACCACAAAAGTATAAAACTCCCAGAAGATAACAAAAGAAAAAAATCAAGGTGACTTTGGGTCTGGTGATGCCCTACTATACCAAAAACACAATCCAGGAAAGAAAAAAGCACTAATTTGGACTTCATTAAAGTCTAAAATTTCTCCTCTATGAAAGATACTGTTCAAATAATGAAAACACAAGCCACGGATTGAAAGAAGACATTTTGGAAGCCATCAACTGAGAAAGGTCTAGAATTCAAAATGAAGAAAAAAAACTCAACATTTAGAAAATAACAAACACAATTTAACTGGGCAAAAAACTGAACAGACACTTCCCCAAGAGGGTCAACTGATTGCAAGTAAGCATATGGAGATACTCAACAGCTGATGGGGGCTGGATTGTGCACCCCAAAATTCATGTGATGTCTTCACTTCCAGTACCTCAGAAGGTGATTATACTTTCAGACAAGGTTTTAATGGGGTAATTAAGGTAAAATGAGGTTAAGGAGGCCCTAACTCAGTATGACAGGAACAGGAGACCAGGCCACTGACGCACATGGAAAAGACAGTGTGGAGGCCTCAGAAGACAGTCATGGACAAGCCAAGGCAGCCCTAGAAAACCTATACAGCACAGCACCTTATCAGGAACTTCAAATTAAAGCCACACATCTCCGAGAATGGAGAAAATCCCTAGGTCATAAAAGTTAGCCTCAACAAATATTTAAGGATTGGCATCATACAAAAAACTTTTACGGGTAGTTATCTGTATGGAAAAGAAAGCTAAATTAGATCCTTTCCAGACACAAAAATCAAGTCTAAGAAAACTGACAAATGTAAAAAACAAAAATATAAAACTTTTAAAGAGCAGTATAGGAAAATATATTTGTGATTTTTGTCTTAGGGAAAGATTTCTTAACATAAAAAATACAAGCCATACAAAGATTTGCTCTTTTGACTGCATAAAAATTAAAGACTTCTACTCATCAAAAGGCACCAAAAGAGAAAACACACTAACTGGGCAAGATATTTGCAACACATAAAACTGACAAAATATTACCACCCAAAATATACAGAGAGGCCTACAAATTAATAAACATCCAAAAGAAAAATAGACAAGAGACCTGAACAGGTAGTTGAAGGAAGTATATATGGCCCACAGATTGAAAACAGGCTCAACCTCATTTGTACTCTAGAAAATAACAAACCAAAGCCACAATGAGACACCAAAACCCTGCACATTATCCAGGAAGCTAAAGCAGAAGGACTGTGAGTTTGAGGGCAGCCTGGGCAACACAGTAAGAACCTATCTCAGTCAATCAATCAAATAATAAACCCATCAGGTGGGCAAAAATGTCCAGGCCAAGCAAGATGAGTGTGGGAGAACTGAGGGGGAGCAGAAGGCTGCATCAACAGCTAATAGGAGTAAGCACATGGACTATGCAAATGTATCTCAGCTAGGCAGAGATAGACAGACACATATCACAATAAAATTTCTCAATGAACGAAAGCAAAGAAATGTTTACTAGGAGCATAATATGTGTCATCTTACCAGGATAAGAATGATTCTGTTTGTTGGAAGAAATTTCTGAAAGGGTATCCAGGGAATCTGTTAGTCTGTGAATAAAACAAAGCATGCTTCATTAGAAGTGGCTGGTATTCAGGTTTAAGACTGCGTCTTAACAGAGGCTTTCACACCAGTTTCTATGTCAGTCCTTCAACAAACATTTACTGAGCACCCATAGGAGCCAGGAGTAAGCTTCAATCGAGCATGGTAGACAGGCAATAACCAAGTAAGTACAATGATATAGGAAAAAAAGTAAACTTAAAATGACTTTCTTTAAAACAAGCACCTGATTTTATTGTTTTGGAACTTTATTAAAATAAGTATATTTTACATTAAATGCACCAGATGTGAAATGAAAACTGTGAAAATATCATTAATTCTTAAACTGGAAAATATACTGGCTGAGTGTGTATAAGCCCGAATTCTCTGATAAAACTGTATCTAACGCAGTTCAAGGCCCTTTGTATTTGACTCTATGCACAATCATAAAGCGCATCTTCCCAATGGGTTTCTGTCCATTTTTTTATATTCAAATCATTAGTTTTAAAAAGTCAATCCTGACAGCCTCATTTCCTTTCAACTGTTTACTGACCTAAATCTGCAAGACCTTCATTTGTCAATCACTTCTTCCCACATAATTTGTTTTCACCAAGAAATCCTGCAACTCTTGCAGTATTTGCAGTTTCATTTCAAAATACATATGCTCCATTTTTACATATCTACGGCACAGCACAATCAATAAGAGACTTACAGGCACAAAGAATGTGATCTGATGAATAGGACAGATACCTGAAGTGACAGCTGAGAGGAACTTAATCCTGGAGATAATCAGTGTGTTAGAAATCACTGCCGAATGGTAAGAACTAGCAAATAAACACTGCGCTACACTGAAGATCGCTGGAGGGTTGAGATGTGGAGAAGAGGGAGAGGAAGAGGGAGAGCGGGGAGGGAGGGATCATATTTGGTCTAGTCAGTAAGTTTTCTTATAGTTTCTCTAAAGAAATGCTGATGTATATACTTCCCTCAAAAGGGTATTAACTAAATGAAAATGGGGTGATGGCAGGTCTAGAATGTCATCCAAACAGAGGGAATAATACGTGCCAACTCCAGGGCAGGAGGCACATTGTGAACATGGGAAGGGAGAAAATGAAAGGCCACCTACAATTCTGAGGAAGAGAAAATACAAGGTGAGACCATAACTGGTTATAATTTTATTAAGGCTGTCTTCAAGCAGCCCCCAGTTTAAAATCCTTCCTAAGATCAGCAGGGTCTTTAAAAAGCTCAAAGCGGATTTGGATAAGAAACTCCTCAAAATCAGAGACCATGTCTGTTTTATTTGTTTATAGAATGCCTAGCACAGCACAAAGTGCTAAAAGACACTTAATAGTATTTGATGGTGATGAATGAGACAATCAGAAGATGACAGGAAGACAGCTGGATTGCGATAGCAGTTCATTTACAGAGCCGTGTTTCTTTTAAACAGAGGGGGCTGCTTTCAGATGCACCACCTTAAAGAAGGCCAAACAGAAGGCACACAAAACACAAAGTGAAGAATGTGTGCCCCATAAACAAAGCAAGGGGGTAAAAATGAAACCACGAGAAAAAATATGGCTTCATAAAATAAAACAGGAAAAAAGGTAGTTCCGGAATAGAAAGCACTCAACAGGGAACAGGACCTGATCAATGTGTACTGTGCCTAAAATACGCCAAACTGTGTGCTCTGATCATACGCTGGGAGTTGCATCAGGTTTTTTTTCTATGTACTTTTAAAATATTTATTTATTTATTTATTTAAATTTTAAAGAGAATAAAACATAATTTAAAAATTAGAAAAAAATAATAAAAAAATTAGAAATGATAAAGAATTTCACTAAGCAAGATGATGGAAATTCAACAGTGGTTGTTCTATTGCATATTGTTGTGTTCAAATTAGTTGTTCAGGTTACCTGCATCAGGTTTCCTAACAAGAACGTGTCTGTGTCCGGGCAAATTAAGTTTGCCCAGATGGATCCCAGTCAGTGCTCATAACCAGAGGAAAAGCCTTTCAGGAGCCTATGGCAGTGTGCTGAGGATGTACCAGCGCAACCCGAGCACAGAGAACCCGACTGGTGACTCAGCGGGACATGACTCCCCAGTCAGTCACTGGCATGACACAGACACCAAGGAGAGTCCCAGGTGCTCCCTTATGCCTTACAGGCTCTGGTGAAGGGCACACGTGCCACTTCATCACCTCTCTGGGCCATACTTTCCTCATCTAAGAAACAGGGACAATTACAGTGCCTGACCCAGGGCGCGTGGAGAAGTAAACCACTAATACACGCTCAGCACTGAAAACCGTGCCCGCCACACATACATGCTACTCATTGGCCAGCATCTCCTTTCAGTCATTTAACAAATCAAAATGAGCAAAGTGAATGTAGGAAAAAACAACAATAAAACAACAAACTTGGGTTTAGTCCCTGCTCCTCCATTAACTAGCCATATGACTTTAGCTGTTACTTTTTCTCTTGAAACTTGTTTTTCACCTGCAAAATGGGAATGATCACAATAGCTCATGGCTCCCTAGGCCTGGCGGGGTAATGAGATAGGCAGCTGAAGGACAAGGTGTCGAGCCTACCTCTAATTAAATGCTCAATAAATATTTGTAACACTTACGGTTATTTTCCAGCTTACCTGATGAAATGAAATGACATTTAAGTGAAGAGCTACAAAGCATTGCATACAGAATGCTTTATCACTATGAAGAAGAAAATGGTATCAAATATATCTTAAAAGAAGAAAATCAATACAAAAAGGATCTGAGAAAAATAAACTGAGGAAGAAAATGGATATATAAAACTTCATTTGCACGGACACAGACACATTCTTCTTAGGAAACTTGAATCTGAACAACTAATTTGAAGACAATATGCAATATAACAACCACTCTTGAATTCCTATCATCTTGCTTAGTGAAATTCTGTATCATTTCTAATGGTATTTTATTATTTTTATTCTCTTTAAAATTTAAATAAATAGAAATTTTTAAAATACATAGGAAAAAAAAAACTGATGCAACTCCCAGCCTATGACCCCAGTTCTAGTCTCCTGAATACAACTACACCACGTATGTTATCTCTCATTTGAAGATTAGTATTCCATCTCCTAGCCACTGAAAAGTACAACACACTACTCTTCCAGCATGTAAGAAAAGGCACTTCGCATTTCACCCGGATTTTCATGAGGACTTGTTTCTGCTCAACTTGTTTTTTAAAACCAGAGTGAGGTGATACATGAGTGTACTATCTTACAAAGAAACACCAGAGAGGTTTATTATATTTAATTCTTGAAACTTCACTTCCCCCAAAGATCTACTGCCTGTCTATTTTTGAAAACTAAAGAAATCAGAGGAAAAAAGCCATTTTGGTCCCATTAGGTTTGTAGGAGAATGAATGGGTGCCTGCTGGCAGGAAATTTAATGTAGTTAGGATGTGACTGAAGCAATCAGAGAGCATTTTTACTTTTGTTTGGATGACAGATTAAGCTTTCTGCTTTCACTGTTCTTAGCTGCAAACACCACTTCTAATAGCCCACACATACTCATAGGGTTTGCAAATGAGAGGAAAGGAGGTTTTTAAAATTTCAAATCCTCAGCAAGGCAAAGTTAGCTTTCTGTGCACCTTCCCTCTGGGGAAGGTGGTTGGTTAACCCTTTGAAAGGAAGTGTGTTATCCAGAAAAAACTGGAATCTCTCTGTGCACTGCCAATTACAAAAAGTTCATGCACATAAACACAAATCCCGTTTTCCTCACCTCTGCACCCTGGATGGGGGAGCAAATATTCCATATCTCGGAGAACAACTAAAATACTGCACACCTCCAACTGAACCGTCGTTCTTGCCATGGGGTTTTTCAAGCTCAATACCGTACCAATATCCTAGAACATGAATACTGAATTTTAAAAGCATCAGCACTTTAATCAAAACCGTTATGCTGTTATATGAACCCAGAGTCTAGATGGCTTAACACTTTCACAAATGACCGTAATGATGGAAGATCGTCGTGTTCATTAAGCTTTCAAATGATAAAATTATAAAATAAAACTTGAAAATTTGAAAAGTGGAAAAAAAACATTTTGCCAGCATAATTGCAAAGCAGTACATTAAAGAAGGAAAATAAAATGCACCGACACAAATATGCAAAGGATTAGGTTTACACAAGTAGAATATGACCAAAATATATCTTAAAACTATAATGAAAAAGAAACTGTCCTTGACTTTCTAATATAGAGTTTCAATGAGAGAAGTGTAATATAATATTGAGATGTATAAATCATGAAATGAACATGTAGTCTTTTCATTTCATTCTCCCACTATTATAACACCAGAAACAGTTCTGAAGTAACCGAAGGGCAAAGATAATTTGGAAAATACCACTAGACATCACCGAGATTCTGTTTTCTCTCTTTTTTCTTCATCAGATCAAGATGGAAAGAAAAATCATTTTTAACTTAAAAGATTAGGTTAGCTAAGAGGAAGAATTTTCTAGGTAACTTTTAGTACTTAAAGGTTCTCACCCTGAGAAAAGTAATAGCATATCTTCCTCTACAGAGTTTAAAACTGAAGAAGAAATGTTACTTTTACTATTTCCACCAAAATTAAGTAAATGGACATGTTCCTAGTACATCCTAACTAATCTCAATCACTAAATGAAGATCTAAGGAGGTCCATGAATTATACAACATATAAGCCACCTTGATTCACTGGCTGGCAATTAGAAAGTGGTATTAATGAAATAATGTGTTGTAAGACAATTCTCCACGGTGCTTATGTTTCTGAGAGTCTTACACCACCAGCTAAAGGTACTGATTACTTGGTTCCAGACATCTTTCCCTAGATGTCTGTACAGAGGAAACCCTTGGAGGACAGAGATAGAGACTTTCTCCAGGGCAAAAGGCAGACACACTGATCAAAAAGGTTCAGATTCCCTAAGCTCAGGGTTCCTCTTCTGGAACATGACCTGCTGGGTATGCAGGCGCCACCTGCCCTGCCTCCCCACCAGGTGAGGCTCAGAATAGAGCAAGAAAATGCTAACGCTCAGGTTATGGGTGTTACTGTGAGTCTAAAGGTCCTCTGTCTCTGCGTAGGACTCTTACATTTTCCACCAACATCTGTGAAACTGTGGCACAGTTTCACTGTGGCAGGCTAATTTGCTAGCTGCAAATGCGGCAAAATCTCAGTTCCTGTGCAGTTATTCATAGCATGCCGCACTACAGAGTTGTTATTGTCTTTTCTTTTAATCAATATTCTAAGTAACCTTTCCCTAAAATGCTGCAATGCCACCATGTGTTAAAATAGCATATTGCTATTTAAAACATACAACCATGATTCCATTCAACTGGCAATTTAAAATGATAATATGTAAAAATGCAAAAAAAGTAGCCTTACTTTTGGAAACACACATTAAGTATAGACTGGGATTAACATGTAAACACAAAAACATGTACTTTCAAGGTCCCATGGTCCACAAAAACTTTATTTTCTTTCATTGTTCCCTTTAAGGCACCCCATAAAAGCTATAGTTACCTCATTACCTGTTCATTTTAAAGTTATCTTTGGAAATACACTAATCCTAAAATGTTTTCACTATCATTTGGCATATTCGGCAATCAGCACAAACTTGGAAAGTAACATTTTATATTAGACAAATGAAAGCATAACCGGCAAGAGAAATTTCTGGATACCAGTTAATCTGAATACAAACAATCTGAGTTTGTACAATGCTTTCCCATTTTCTGTGCCATTACTATCGTCCACAGGAACTGTTAATCACGAATTCTCTATGATTAAATTTTATTTACTTATAAAATTTTAAAACTTTTGTATTCTAAAGAATCAAACAGCAAAAAACACTCAGATGAATTACCTGGAGCAAAATTTGTTGTCCCAAAGAACTTAATAGTGCCAACTCTCTGGCCTACCACCAATACTCTGTCTCCAAGGTGGAGCTCTCCTTCACGATGGGCATTATTTGCTATAGATGTTGCTGAGGAATTCAAACCTGTTTAGGTGGTGGGTAGGAGAAAGGGAAAGAGAAAAGAAAAGCAAGGGGAAAAACTTAGAAAGCACCTTAGTAAAAAAATATCACTATGATTTCTAGTCTAGTTAGAAGTTCTGATACTTGAAGCCTTTCATTATATGTCATTGACAGTGTGTTTCTGACACAGAAGTCAAGGCACCTAAAGGAAATGTGAAGGGCCTCCTGAGCAAATGATTGCCATGGGAAATTCACACACACATCTGATTCCTGTGAAAGAACCCACTCTTCCAGGATGATCTAGTGTACTCTGACCCCTAGGAGAGGGGTCAGCACACTGTTTATGTGAAAAATGAAACAGGTAAATAGTTTGGGCTTTGTAATGTAAAACTGTTTCTAACGCAATGACTAACTTCTGCTGCTGAAGCAGGAGAGCAGATAAATCCTGTATGAAAAGGAACGCACACAAACCAGGTGCAGGTCAGATTTGGCAACGAGGTTACCGTATGCCAATTCTTGCACTACTAAAATGCGAGGGTTACTGTAGTTCACTTGGACTCGGTGTAAATGAGGAATGTGACTTGAAAGTAATGCTGTTGAGTGTCTGCCCCTGAAAATTCAAAATATGAAATGTTCAAACTAGGAAACTTTTGAAGTGCCAGTGTTCAAATTAACGTTCAGATGAGCGTGCCAGTGTTCAAAGCTTTCAGATTCTGAAGCATTCAGATGTCCAGATTAGAGATGTTCTATCAGTGAAGCCAGTGCAAATACCCCCAAATTTCCCCCCCCCAAGTCCAAAACCTGAAACACGTCTGCTGCCAAGCACTTTGGGTAAGGGTTATTCAACCTCTAACCAGCCCCAACTAATCCACACTGATTTCCTATTTAAGAATTAAACCACTCCATTCTCAACTTGATTCAAAACTAAGCCCTAAAATGCACAGTTTTAAACATCAAAAACCCTAGAGAAACATTGTCTTGAAAGCTGGTCAAATACAACAGCTGGGAGAGAAGAGATGGGGTGCCGGGCCTCTCCCATTAATCCACAATCAGACTGAAGAGCTACCATCTGGGAAGACAGGAGCGCCCTAGGCGAGGCCCAGGGAGGAGGATAAGCCACACCGTGAGAAGGGAGACATTACAAATGTGGCAAGAAATGAAAGAACCCAAGCCCACGGAGGAGGGTAAGGACAGACTGCTACGCTAAAAAGGCCTGGTCCCTCTTACTCTAATTTATATTCTGTAACACTTTGTAGCTTGTAAAGTTCTCTGCATAAAAATCATAGTGATTAAAAAAAAAAAAAAAAACCCGCCAACTCAGGATTAACTAAGCCAGTGTTTACAGCACACCGGAGGCACAGCCAGATGAACACCCAGACTCTGTGGTCAGAACCCGCAGGTCTGCCCTGAGCGCGTGCACACAAGCAGCATGGCGGGCCCAGCAGCAGGACCCAGGGAGGCCAGGCCCAGAACACAGACTTCCTCCCGACCCTTCCCACCCTCACCCTTTTTTTCCACTCCTCTCCCTGACTCTTTACCTTCTCTTCCCATTATCACCCACTCTCTGCAGGTCACTTCCCCCTCAAACACAAAAGCCTACTGAGTAGTATCTATTCATGCTTTAAAAGCGTCTTAAGGAAATGTCTCTGGGGCTCCACACCTTCCTTTCTCCACCCACCCCTCCCTCTGAAAGGTCTTCGTTCTCACTGATAAACTATCCCTGTCTTCACTATTCAGCCTATGTAACCCTCCAATTTGTAAAAATAAAAAATGCTAAGTATATAAGCACACTACAACTACTTCTTATAAATTTTAAAAAGTTCTTCCATACCCACGTATATATTTTTAAATCAAGTAAATGTCCAGAGCCCAAGTCCCAAATGAAGGGGGCCCTGAAATGTCAACAGATCAAGGCAAACGGGACAGCTGTGTCATCATACTGTCTTGCCTTTCCGCCTCACAGCATTACAAATGGGGGTTGGGGCGCTATTCAGAGAACAATTATTCCAGGTGAGCAATTCCAAGCAAAATTTCCAGGTTCCCTGCTTTTGGGGTTCCAATTTTTAGGTTTAGTGTATCAATGTTACTGCTCGAGCGTTTGGAGGTTTTTTATTCCTCCATCAATAATGCATTCTAAAGAGAAAAAGGTCATGTCATGAACATTTTCTATAATGAATCACTGGCTCAGTACAAGTATTAGAGATGTTATCAGAAACAATCTAGTAATTATCCTGAGGGTCATTATGAACAATTAATGCCAAAACAGCCTTACTTCCTTTCTAGAGAAGTTTACTATTTAAGTAAATTGCAACTCACATAATCTAAGCTGATTTTCAACAAGTCTGACAAAGTGTCTTGTGTCTCCTCACAGACAGCTAAAGAAAAGTGGACTGAGTGAGATTATGCAGGACCCATGGCCACTTCAACAGCCACATGAGAACAGGCTTCACTGCCATCCTGGAAGGAGACCCTCGGGCCCTCTCCAACAGTTTTCAACAATGACTTCAATAAAAACAGAGGCAACATGCTTTTCAATATGAAGATGACACAAAACGGTGTGAAAAATTAATATGCAAAAAAACAAAACATATGGGATGAAACCACTAAAAATAAATTAAGGAAGAATAAATGCAATGTCTTGTACCCAACAACAAAACAAAGAGACCTTGGTAGGTCCAGGGAAGGCGGGGAAGGTTCAGACTGCAAGTGGTACAATCTGATTGACATAAAGAGTTCCTTCTACACATTTAAAAAGAGCAAATCTACTTACAAAAAAAACCAAGATAAAAAACATCAGAAAAGCCTGGTTGAAAAAGCCATAGATACCAGCACTGGCTCTGGATGACAGAGAAGGGCTTTTGCTCGCGGTCTTCTTGCTACTGCTGCTTGCGTTTGGTTTCTTCGAGTAGCTCTGCTTATGCTCCAAGGAAGATGTCGAGGACGAGCTGCTGATGGATCCGCGCAGGGTGGCTGAAACAGGGAATGCAACAGACTGCGTGAAAGTGTGGAAAATAAGAAATGGGCCAGTAAGAGGATTTTCCAGGCAAATCCTTCAGAAGTGCTTCATTTAGCTTCTTCAAATGTGGCTTATCTACTCTCAAATTAGATGCCGCCTTTCATCCAAATAAGCAGTAGTTTCTTAAGGATTCACACTGTAAGATCACAATCTTATATAGGATGTCACCATATCACTTAACGGTAACTGACTGCCACCATTCCTTACGTCTCACCTTTGTAAAGTTCTGTCTTACACAAAAATGCCATTGATATGTTTTAAGATGATAAAAGTTTCACATTAAAATGTTTTGAGTGAAGATTAAAGGCAAGCAGGAATACTCTTGCTCTAATCACCTAATAATTTGATGCTAAGGCAGCTTAAACATTTTTAGCCATCTGTACTCTGAAATTTCCTTTTCTTCCCTCTAGTAATCTGGTCCAGTACTACAGTTCTCAAAGTGTACATAACAGAGTATAAAATTTTTAAAAGAGTATATACTTTGAGTTTCTCAGGAGATTTTCAAGGGTAATTTTCACTATGATTTTTCCTTTGCCAATTTTAAAACTTAATGGCCATACAAGCTCTTTCCCCACTATATTACTTTAAAGGTCCACCAAGAAGTTAAGTTTTGAGAAACAGAAGTTGTACTACCGTCTTTCTCTGCTACCGTTTTCAATTCTTCACTAGGAGGCACTGAAAGTGCTGATTCAGACACACTATCCTTTTTTGATGCCATCAATCCTAGGACACAGAAACAGAGAAACGCACTCAAAAAGAATTCTGTTTAGCATTAAAACATAAAAATGCATTTGTTTTTTAAAAGTACGCATGTCCCTTGTTATCTAACTCTTATCCATTTCTGAAAACATGTCCAATAATAATTTCACAGTGTGAGCCAATATTTCACTATTCCATTATCTAAAGAAGGAAAAAGGGTTGAGGTACAGTTCAGTGGTATAGGACCTGCCTAACATGTGTAAGGCCCTGGTTCATCCAAGCACTGAGGAAAAAAAAGATTAAGGCTGAAGAAAGGAATACAAAAGAACTAAAGTCACCATACAAAAGGAACACCCACATACCCACGTTTATCATGACTCAACTCGAGACAGCTAAGCTATAGAAACAGCCTAGGTGCCCATCAACCAATGAATGGATAAAGAAAATGTGGCAGATCTATTCACAATGGAATTCAGCCATAAAGAAGAATGAAATCATATCTTTTGCAGGAAAATGGATGGAATTAGAGACCACTATGTTAAGCAAAATAAGCCAGACTCTGAAAGTTAAATATGGTATGTTTTGTTTTATATTTAAAAATCTAAAGAAGGGTGGTATGGATGACAGAAGAGTAGAAGGTAAATTACTCAAGATGAAGATGGGGGTGTAGAAGTGGGGGAGTAACCAGAGGAATGAAAATAAGCAAAACATGTTATATGCATGTGCCCACGTACCAAAACAAAATCCATTTTTCTGTATTACGAAGGTGTACTAATAATTTTTAAGTGGAAACCCCAATTTATGATCCCCCAAGGATTCCTAAACAATATGAAGCATTTAACAGACAGGTGCTAGACTGTTTCATTCTTTCCCACCCCCAGCACTGGGAAACTAAACCCAGGAATGCTCTACTGAGCTACCTCCCCAGCTCCTTTTTATTTTTTTGAGTCTCACTATGTTGTCCAGGCTGGCCTGGAACTTGTGATCCTCCTGCCTCCATCTCCTGAGCAGCTGGGATTACAGGTGTGGACCCTCACACCTGACCATTTCATTCTTAATTGTTTCATTCTGGTTTTTACATCCCCACAGGAAAAACTTGCTTTTATTGATATCACCATGTAGGTTTAATGCAAGCTAAATATAAACACATTATTAGATATTAAGCCACCTATCCTGAAAAACAATATACCAAGATCAATCTTGAAAGGTTTATAAAAACTAAAATGCAGAAACTGCCTTTCTCAATTATGTAATTCTCAGTAATCCATATCAGATTTTTAAAAAGGTGCTTGTCAACAATCACAGCAAACATTATTGGCTGAATAATTTTTTAAAAGTCTTTTATTTTACAATGAAGTAGCTCCAGATTAAAGCATGGAATTTCCTGCATTTGTTATCTCTGTATTTTGCAGACTTCTAAAGCAAAGACTGCTTCTGGCTTTCTGAACAACTAAAGGTGATGACCTATGTGGCTGAGTTTTCACTGGTCTTTTATTCTTCTTTCCTGATAGATCCTTAGCTTCTTTGGAAGAGGGCCTATGAATTGAGTTCCATGGAACTGGGTTATAAAATGCTGGTTCTGGATTGAAATTGCCACTGTAAAAACCTGTAAGTTTTCCACTGGCATAGCTCTTTGCAGCTGAACAAGGCTCTTTTCATTTTGCATTTTCAAACCATTCCTTAAATTTTCTACTGTTTTCTTTTCCTCCTGTAACTTAGCTGCTGTTGTTTGCTTTTATTTCTTCTTCAACATTTTACTTTAACCATTCTTGCTATTTTTTTTTCTTTTTTTTTTTTTTTTTTTTTTTTTTTTGTGTGTGTTTTCTTGCAAATGTTCTCCCTCCAGTTCCTTTGCTGACTTTTCCTCCATTTCTTTATGGAGTTTTTTTGTTCTTTCCTTCCTGTATATTCTTTTTCTGAACCCATCCTTTGTGTTTTCCTTCACCAATTATCTTGCTTGATGCAGGTTCTTCCCTTTTCTTTGATTTCCTTCCTTCAGAGCTTTCTGTTGCAGCTTGTCACATTCTTCTTTTTCTTTGCCAACAAACATCACGTCTGCTAAGTGTACCTCGTTCTTGGGTATCTTCTGGTCCCACTTCATGGCTGCCCAGCCAGCACCCCCAGTCCTCGTGGGCCTGCCCCGTGGGACTCACGGTGGGGTGGGAGTAGGGGAGTATGCCAGTGACTGGTGGAGTCTGTGGTGACAGGAAGCCCTCCACTGTCACCTCTGCCGCCCTTCCTGAGGATGAGGAAAGTGCCAGGAGGATTAACCCAGTCTGGAGTCTCAGAGAATCAGGGTCTAAGTGAGGGCAAAAAACCCACATCTGCCAATGTCTCGCTCTGAATGGACTCCCTCAGGGTGTCTGCATCACACTAAGAGGAACATCAGCCTTACCACTCCTAGGTACAGCTGCTGGGCTCTCTAGGACCTGCAAACCATTTATATGACTTCATCAGTGTGTGCACACACATATAGGAGGGTCTGTGTGTACACAGTGATTTGGGAGCAAAAATTTTTGCCACTTATAGCAACTTTCATTTAAATGAGAACTGAGATAGTAAAATGTCCTGTGCTCTCTGCCACAGTATTATAAGAATGACTACCATACCAATTATCACAGGAACTCCACTTAGGGAAAAAAACATTGAATAATAAGTCTGCCTTCTGAAGACATCTGTTTCCGTTGTACAGTACAAAACTAACTTAAATAAAACACTGAATGGATTGTACCCAATTTTAAGTTCCGTCAGGTACCCTTTCTAATTCTACTTACTTACAGAGCATTTCAGGTAAAGAACTGTGCTTGGGACTCTGAGTATCATAAACACAAACCAGACATGTTTCTAGTCCTGAGGATAACCTTTTCAAATTAGTATGATAGAAAGAAATGAACATAAATAGCTAAAATGTGAGGAGACTTTTTATGAAAGCACTTGCACAACTGACAATAACTGGCTACAAAGGTAAATCAATGCTTCATCAAGACCACATTCTAATAGGTCAGATTTCCTCCCCAGAACACTGGGAGGTATGGTCATAAAGAACTTGAGAGTGGAGATGCTGGGTGGAAAAATAGAAAATTTACAATAAAACACAGAAAATGGTGAGTAGGGTGGTGGAAACAAGAGTCGTTCTGGAACACCAAACAGTTGGACAGGCAGGTGACAGTACCTCTCTCAGAGGGACACAATCAGTAAGAAACTACAACTCAGGGCTAGAGGTGTAGCTCAGTGGTAAAGCACACACTTAATGTGTGCTCAGCACCAGAAAAAAATGCAACTTTTCTGTAAAGAATGAGACTGTGGTCCACGGGCTAGACAGCCTTGAGTTGGTAATAAATGTCTTTAAAACAAAGGAAGCTTTGTTACTTATATACATTAAATATATGATACAGTATGCTATACATGGCTAAGGTAATTCTTCTGCACTCACTGCAGCCCAGGCAAGCTAGGTGTGTCTGACCTGCTGCCCACAGATGCATGTATACACACCTGTGGGCAGCAGGTCAGACACACCTGGTAGAAGGAAAGCAGGCCAGAAACAGAGCAGTGAGGAGCTGCGACATTAGTCAGGGGAGAAGGTCTGCACTAGAACAGCAGACATGGAAGGAGATGACAACCTATACAGGGGACTTCATATTTTTCTAATTATTACATTTTTCATTTCTAAAATATCCATTTCCCTGTTACTTGAATTTTTATCAGGGTAACCACAGACTCACATGAAGTTATAAAAATTATATAAAAAGATCCTTTGTATATTTTGGCCAGTCTCCCCAAAGTTAATATTTTATAAGACTATAATATTTCAACCAGGATAATGACACTGAAATAATAACAGATCTTACTCAGATTATCCCAGATCTACTTGTATGCATTTGTGTGTGTGTGTGTGTGTGTGTGTGTGTGTGTGCATATATGTACCATTTCATTTTCTCTTCTATCTCCTATTTTTCTGCTAATATTTTTTTTCCATTTGTCTTCAGAGTGTTTACCCTTAACTCTTGGGGCATGGTTACATTTCCTTTAAAGTCTTTGTATTCAAGGTACTGTCCATGTCATCTCAAGGCTGGAATCCTTTGACTTTTCCGTGTAAAAATGTAGAAATGTTCTTTGTTTTCATATTTTCATAGTTTTGGGCGTCCTAGATATTATGCTATAGGACTGGGTCTGGCTTAATCTTTATGCTTTTGTTCACTTGGCTCATTTTGTTCAGCAGGCAGTTGACCAGGTTAGGTACCATGCACTGTAATTCTATGCACTTGAGTTTCCAGAGCCTTTGCAGTGATGCTTGAGCTTAACTCATGTGCTTGAGCTTAACTCATGTCCAGCAACCTGTCTGGACCTGCCAATGGTCTACCCAGGAAACCAAAGTGTTTCCTCGGATCCATACATGCACAATTAGGAGCAGCCCAAGGAATTCACATGCAAAATTGTGAGGTTTCATTTCCCTGCTCTGTTGTACAGTTTCCTGAGATTGATCCTACCTCTGGGGCCAAGGGGTAAGAAAACAAAAGACAAGCAATGGGAACTCTGTCCACTTTGCTCCTTGGAGACAGGACTGTTCTCTGTTGTGTTCTGGGTGCTGGCCCACCCATTGCTCCTGTTACATTATGCAGGGCTTCCTGGGGGGCTAGGGTGGAAAAGAAAACATAAAACAGGCAAAGAAGAAAATTCCTCCTCTATATTCCATCTAGTAGGAAACTCTTCCTGCTCCTCAGACTGTAAATCCAGGTCTTCTCTTAGAGGTTTTTGTCCATGCCCACTGGGTACTTGCAGATCTCAAGTTAAGAGGACAACGGTGTCATGAAGTACCAAGAAATAGATCTAACAAACAGATCAGGAAAAAGTATCTGTAGGAAACATTACATCATGGTATTGAGATATTTCTAAAGGATCTAATTAAAAAGAAAAACATTCCAAGCACATAAATAAAAGATTATTGAAAAGATGTCAGCTTTTTACAAATTGATTTCAAGTTTAAGTGTAATACCAATTAAAACCTCAACAGATTCTTTTTAAATGAAACTAACAGTTTACTCTAAAATTCATAACTATGATGTAGAAGGGTCCACAATAGATAAGATAATCTTCAAAAATAAGGTAGGATGAACTCCTCTACTGGACCTAAAGATTTTTTTTTAATTAAGAGTAATGATGAAGTACAGCATCATCACAGAGATATTCAAATAGCTCCATGGAACAGAATACAGAGGCCAATCAAAGCTGGACACAATCCTTTCATGATGATAGGAAGCCTTCTGCTTTCCTTATTTATTGAGCACCTGTTTTGTGTTGCGTGCCACAGTGAACACAAAAGTACAAAATGCTCCCACGTCCCCTTCAAGTTTAAAATTCTGCTGAGAATAAAAGATTTGTACAAATAAAGCAATCAATGGTCAAAGTCCAAGGTAGCAAATAACAATCAAGTGTGGACAAAAAGTACACACAAAGTCAGGGAATTAAGAGATTAAAAGGTGCTAGAAGAGGAGGTCTCCACAGAAAATCAGATGTGAACAAAGAGGCAAAGAATGCTATGGGAGTCAGAAGCAGTGTCACGCACCACTAATCCCTGTGCTGGGAGGCTCAGGCAGGAGGACCATACATTTGAGTCTCACCTAGGCAATTTGGCGAGGCCTTGTTTCAAATAAAATTTTTAAAGGGTTGGGGACACAGCACAGTGTGAAGGTCCTGGGTTCATTCTCCTGTGCCACAAAAAAGAAAAACTAGGGAGGAAAAATAGAGGCAGCAGAGGAGGAAGAGGAGGGGGAAGAAAGAGGAGCAGTAGCAGGAGGAGGAGGAGGAGAAGCAGCAGAAGCAGAAGTAGCAGAAGCAGCAGAAGTAGGAGAAGCAGAGAAGGACTAGGATGAGGAAGAGGAAAGAATAAGAGGAAGGAAGAGGAGGAGGTAGAGGTAGAGGACAAAGAAGGAAAAAGAACAGTTAAGAACCTCTACAGTCACACCATAGCATCCATAGAAAGTGCCTAAGTCAAGGCAGAAGGGAAGAGCAAGAATGGTGCCTACAAAAGACAAGGCAGAGATACAACAACCACAATTCAACTATGAAAGCATATAGAGGTGACACCAAACCAAGGAGAATGATTACGCGAGGTGCTGAACATGTTCTGAAAGAAAAGTACAGGGAAAAAGTCACTGAACATCTTTGAACAGGTGAGGAACACAAGGCCAGCTGTATTTCAGAAAGACTTCCTGGAGGTGCCAAACCCAGCTGTGCAGTTAGAGCATGTGGTGTTAGAGGAATGGACAGCAGGAAAGAAAGCAAAGAGACAAGTCTGAAATATTCCTGTGAGGAATTAAAGTCAATCATGACTGAGGCTTAAAAACACAAGATGCAGGCTTTATTAAATTTAGATTTCACAACTGGCTAACAAAAAAGAACAAAGCAGCCTAAATATTAGCAATCCCACAACTAAAATATAAATGTTCAAGAACATCATTCACTTCCTAGCTTGACCTACCAGTGTTCACTTTTGACGTGACATGAGTTATGCTGACTTTCTGGGGCTTGCTGGGAGGTACGGTTTTTGAAGAAGGGGGATGTGTTATATTCTTCTTCCGTTCTTTTGCTTTACTTATCTTTGAAAGAGGGGCAAAAATACCTAAGAGAAAACACAGAATTTAGTTACCAAGAATTAAAAGCACTTCAGATAAAGGAGCAAGAATAACTGTTTAATAACATAAATCTAAACTTTTTTTTAAGGACTACTATATGTCCTGAAATGAGAGACAAAACTATGTATATTATATGCCCTCAAATACATAGCTTACAGTCTAGTGGTCAACACTAGCAACACATGTAATAGTTTAAGAAGCACATAAAAGACACATAATCAGGTATTAAGTGAAACTGGAAAAAGAAAAATGAGTAAGGGTAACACCTACTATTTCTAAGCTACTAGCAAACAATAGTATACCATGTAATATAAAAACCTCTGCTTCCAGTTCCTTTGTATCTCATTAAGATTTATATTTTTCTCACATTATAACTTTTTATATGCATATCTTATCTTTTCTCTAGACCACATATTTTTAAAGAAAAAATTCAAGTATTACTCATCTGTGCATTCCCCCACTGCACCTGATTATAGTGCCTTACACATCCTACAGATAAAATAAATCTCTCTGACCATAAGATACAATTTTCCCGGAAGGCCTCACCTTCCACTCCTGACAATCAGAAACAAAACTATGTGTTGAGAAGGGGAGGTACAAGGGCAGGGAAAGGGCTGCCCGTCCACAGCAGCTGGGAATACAGAACTCCACTAACAAGGGTTTATCCAGGCAGTAAAATACCCACTCTAAGTATGCACAGATATTAGAGATAGTGAAAACAGACTATAAATACCAAGCTTAATCTCACTAAGACATTAAAGGGGGAAAATAAAGTCATAATATGTATATTACACTCCTTCACTGAGTGTTTACAACCTAACAAATATATATTATGACTGAAATGTATTCAAAACAACTTGTTTTAAAGCAGGGTAGAAATGCTCAAGACTCTACAAAGCTTTGTTTATAGATAGCTAAGAAGTGCCAACCATGTTACTTTTCTCAAATCGTGAAATCTTCCTTCCCTTAGTCTTTATACCTTAGCCTCGTTTCCCTATCTATTCTTTTTTTACTTATCTGCAATTTTTTCTCCCAACTCCTACCTCTAAGATTCTCCTTGGCTTTCTATTCTTCTCAATTCTTCTCATTGCGAAACATGCACTTAACACACAAATTCTACTGAAGCCTGACCTTTGATAGAGCAAGAGAGACTCCATCTTCTGTTTTTAACTCCATATTAAAAGAAGTCACTTAAAGTTCACTTAAGCTGTTATTGACCCCCCACTTTTCACCCCAGTCCCCTTGGTTAGTTATCAACTCAACAAACAGGACAGACTGAGAAGTAAGCTAGAAGTTAAACTGCCATGGTCATTTGGAATTTGGCTATCCGACCTGCTGTGCATTCTTGTAAGATTTCTCAAAATGAAGTAATGGTTACTATGGGAACCTAAAATGTACTTAAACTGAAGGTGAGACCCAGATCGGGGCAGACATTTTCTCTGGCTCCTGGTTAGAGACAGTCCATCAGCCAGCTCAAATAAAGCTTTGTTGTGCCCACTTCGGCAGCACATATAATAATAATAAAGCTTTGCTTGTTCCTACCTTTTTGTTTTTCTTGTGAGTACCTTTCTCACTGAACTCGCTTGCCTTATCACTATATGACCAGGACCATGACTATGATTATAACTGCTGCTGACAAAGGTCTGAAGAGAAAAATCATATGCTCTGGAAATATGAATTTGCACAATCTTTCTGGAACACAAAAATTCAGACTTAATCCACTTTATAAAATAAATTACAGAGTAATAATTAGAGCACCATACAAAAGTTATATTTGTATATGTATTATAAGAAAACGATTTCAGGAGCTGAAATAATTTCTAGGCTACTAGGAATGTCCTAATGTCCCAATCATGCTCCTGGAAAATAATTATAGAAAATTATACAGAAGGAAAGAAAAGAACATATATTGAAATATGTCATCATTGAAGTATTATTTATAAGCAGGAAAAACCACAACTGTCTAGCAATTGGATGAATGAAATCAATCACACCTGTGAGCTACAGTGCCCCCTCATTATCTATGCCAGATATATTCCAAGGCATGCTACAGATTCCTGAAACCGTAAATAATGCCAAACCTTACACATATTATGCTTTCCCTATACATACTTACCTATAATAAAGTTTATCTTATAACTAAGGCACACTGAGAAATTAACAATAATAAAATAGAATGACTATAACAATATACCATAATGAAAGTTATGTGAGTATGGTCTCTCAAAATACCTTACTGTACTGTGCTGGGTTTTTGGTATATAAATAAATGAACCCATGGAAAGCAAAACCAAGAACAAGGATCATCAATGTACTATATCACCATTAGTAAATAAAACAATAAGGATTATGTTATAATAAAAATATGAAAAGTCAAGAAAATAATGTTATGTTTTATTATATCATGACATCAGATATTTTTATTATATTATGAAATTAATTACATTTCTGAAAAACCATATGTGTGAATACAGGTAGATCTACTGAAAAAACTGAAAATTAACAATTTATGAGAACAGACTGCAAATTATTTTTCTGATTTGTTTGATTTTGTCAGTAATAATTATTTTAATCTGAAGAAAAATATGTCATTCTTTTAACTTGTTCCCAGTGGTTTGAACCATAGTGGTACATGCATGACTATCCTGTCAGGGTCACTTTTTGTTAATTTGATTAATTTTATTAATAAAAGGACCAATAAAACAGATCTGTTTGTACCACCAGTGGTTCAAGCCACCTTGCAGTGAGACAGAAGAATTACAGCACCATCATGAATGTGTTAAGATCTTAGCAGAAAATTTCCACTTGATAAAGTAATTTGTTTTTTAGGCAGAACCAAATATTTAATTCTCTAGCTTAAAAAGATTTCTATAGCATACTAGACTTGAATTATACAGACCTCCCACATCTTTTTTTAAGTTAACCAAATCATTTCAGTGAGTGAAAATTAAATTTCAAGGAATGACTATATCTCAAGCCTAAAGTGAGCAGAGTATCCGCACTACCCTCTAACCATTAATCAATATACTCATGCCAATCAGAGTACCAATGGGATTTTCCTCAGCTCTTGATATAAAACTATAGGGTTCAACTAAAAATAAACACAGTCTACGGCCATACTACCCTGAACATGACCGATCTTGTCTAATCTCAGAAGCTAAAAATAAATACAAAGAATTACCTTAAAAGGCAAAAGTAATAAATTTCCAGATAAACATGACCCATTCAACACACATTTAACTCCAATTAAGTATCAGTAAAAAATGAAAATGGTATGCACTTTAAAAGAAAAAATGATACACGGGAATAGAAACACTATAAACTTCTGAGAGGTGGAAAAAGATCAAAAACAAAAGACCTTGAAACTTCTAAATGGCAATTCTGGAAGCTCAAGACAATAGATGGCCAACTATGGCCCAAGGACATACCCTGCACATTGCCTGTTTTGTAAATAAAGTTTTATTGGCACACAGTCACACCCATTAGTTTACTGTTGTCTATGACTATGTATTCATTATAACAGCAGAGCTGAATAGTTATCATAGAGACTATGCAACCCAGAAATTAATTATGATCTGTTCCCTGGAAAAGGTTTGCCAAACTCCACAGTAAACAATAGAATATCTGTCACTTTCAAATATTGAGGGAATTTGTACTTCAACATAATATTCCCTATCCCAAACTATCACATGAAGTGTGAGGATAGAAATATATTTTTAGAAAGGAGGGTCTCAAAACATTTTACCTCCCTTGAGTCCTCTGTAAGAAGGCTACTTTTGGATGTGCTCCACCAAAGCAAGTAAATTACACCAAGAAACTGCCCTAGAAAAGTAAGAGCACTAAATCTTTCTTTTCATAGTACAAAAAAGTCATTAGATGTCTAAACCTGGAAAAATCAAGAGAGTCATATAAATATATTGTTTATAAACATGCATATTAATAGCAGAAGACACAGCTAAAGAAGCTGGAGAAGTTCTCACCTCTAATAAGCAAGACTCAGAAAACAGAAAGGATAGTTCAGAGAGGGCTTTGTTGGTTAGCAAGCCTTACACAACAATCTGACTTGTCAAACTAGGTGCGTGTATTCACTTTGATAATTGTTAAAGACATAAAAACAGTATTGTCTCCAAGTATTAAAATTCATTACAGAACTTCTGCAATTTAAAAAGCTATTAAAATTTACAGATAATGGAAAACAATTCTGAAGCAAACCACAGCATTTATAAGAACTTAACTGTAATAAGATAAGCACAACAAGCCAAAGGGAAAGTAACAGATTTAGAGAGAGCTAGAGAGAAAGAAAAATACTTGCTGAAAACAAAACAATCTTTTTTAGTTTCTGGGATGCCAGGTGATTTAACTGACTCAGAATACTGAGCTGATCCAGCAGGAAAAGCTACTAGAATTTATATACAGTCTAACACATGACCCCACCTCCAACCTGCATCAGTGTTTAAAGGGGGACAACATCCAGTTCTTTCCAAAGCAGGCACCCCTCTCCTTGTAATAATCAGTTTTGAATGCTCAAGCATTCTACTGGCAGTCTACTTTTTATCAGTCTGATTTCCATCTGCCCTGTGGGCTGTTAAAAGTTTTTTGATACTGCCTTAGTCTGTGCTGTAGCTGCCAAAATTAACTAGAAGAGGAAGATTCACCTTTAACCTCACACCACTTATCAGTAAGTTCCAAATGGATTACATAAGGGTGTGCACAAAAATTAAAACATTAAAATGAGTAAAATATATAATTTATACCTAATCCTTGAATTAAGAAGAATTAGCTATGAAAACATAAAAGTAATATATAGGTTACAGCAACATAAGAATTTATAAAGCCAGGCACAGCGGCACGTGCCTAATCACAGCATTAGAGAAGTTAAGGCAAGAGGATCACAAGTTCAAGTCCAGTCTTGTCAGCTGAGCTAAACACTATCTCAAAATAAACAGGGTGTGGATGTAACATCATTCCCTGGGCTCAATCAACAAAATAATAATTTATAAAGAAAAGGTCTTTTAATTGTATAAAGCTAAATGTCCCAAAACACTGCAAATGAAGTTCAAAGGCAAATAACACACTGGGAAAAATATCTCTAATACTGTAAATATAAGGGTTCATATACTAAGTGTGTACTTTTTAACACTCAGCAGTTTGTTAAAGCTTGAATATTTCAATTTTTCTATGCAAAAAATGAACAGGCTAAGTGCCAAAATAATGCAAAAAATACATACATTACAACAAAACAGTTTAAATGTTTTATTTCACAAAAAATCTGAAGAAATATAAGTTCAAACATGGAAATATTTATCCATCAAATGTGAAAAATTAAAAGAAGTAAGGCCATTAAAAATCACATTTTCAAACAATATTTAAAGATTTAGGGAAACTATAATAGGATGTCAAAGAAAAATGCAGAATATTTAACTATTGTGTACAATTTTGTAGGAAAAATATTAGGCAGAAAAAATGCACATGCAATTTTTATGGGTTTTTTTCTCCTTTTTATGGTTTTCAAATCTTTCACAATAAGCATTCTTATTAAAAAATTGAAAAAATAAAAAATAAGCTCCATTCTAAGTGTGTGATAAATCTAGTAATTTTGATAAATTTGTAACAGTCAATAGCTGACAGCTGTTGAGTGATAAAGGACCTCAAGCACTGTTGTCGATGCTTTACACGCTTATCAAGACATTTCACTCTCACATGAACCCTTGGGAAATGGCGATCCCTGTCCTCCAGAAGACAAACTGAGTCACAGGAAGAGAAGGAGGTCCCACAGCTGACAGGTGGAGAAGCTGACTCACACACAAGCAGTCAACTCTTCATCATTACATACCCTTTCTTCTCATAGGGCTGTTGCCATGGACAATGGTGTCACACGAGAATATTTCATTGCAATGAAAAATATTTATGACACAACAAGTAACAAAAGCAAAATGAAATACAATTTAATTAAACATTTGTCAGAAAGAGAAAGACATATCCCAGCTTAGGAATAGAGTCAAAAAGTTTGTATCAGGTGCTTCTATAACTTCTCAAGTTCTTCAAGACTCTAGAGCTCTGTTTCCTTGATACTGAAGTACTTCCCTCAGCTCTGATCCCACAACAGCAGAGTTTAAGAGAGGTCAGTGACACGGACTGTGTTCCTGGTGAGGTGGTTTCTTCCAGTCACCATCAAGCTCACAACTAAGGGTACCCCCCCAGCGCCCTTCACACCACCCTCATCGAACTTTATAACATGCTGCACCCCTCCTCTCTTTAACAAGTCCTCCCAGATCCACAGTCCCACAGGTACTGCATGAGCAACCAGGACGAAAGTTTCCTTTACAGACTAGAAAAGAGGCTGGGCTGTAGCTTAGTGGTCAAGAGTATGCTGACCACACATCAGGCCTGGACTCAATCCCAGCACCACCAAATGAATAAATAAACAGTAAAATTGATTTTTTAGTTGATCATCATCATGTTAATCACATTGACCTTACCATATTTGGGGGCACATTTAAAGTACTGGACTTTTCCAACGCTTCCATTGTTTTTTCCTTCTGGTTCGTCTAATTCAATGCCAGCCCACTGCCCACTGGCAAATTCCGTTGTTCCACAAAATCGTAGTGTCCCCACCTAAGGAAAATACAAACCTACATTATTTTTTAATATTATTAATAATTACAGATGTCTTGCTCTTGGTAATTTTATCACGGAAGTTTTAAAAAACTCTCTCAAAGTAGACTTCAGAATAAGGAACAGTACCAATGGTAACAGGGGACATTAAGTAAACGACAAGAGTCAATTCACCAGGAAGACAAAAGAATCCTAAATGCGTAGGCACCCAACCAGTGAGCTTCAAAATATGTGAAGCTCTTTACCAACAGAACTGAAAGGCAAAACAGACAAGTTCAGACCTGGAGACATTAATACATCCCACTCATTTCATCAACAGATCCAGTAGGCTAGTAAGGATATAGAAAAATTTAACCAGCTATACATTTGACTTGACTGACATACAGAACATTTAAACATAGGCTATAAATGTAAATTAACAGAAATTATAAAAATATGTTATCAGATCATAGTTCAATTAGAAATCACTAACAAAAATATATGGAAATCTCAGTATCTAGCAATTAAACCATTTACTTTTAAATAACAGGTAAGGAAGAAAAAAATCATAAAGGGAATTAGAAAATATCGTAAACTGGGTGAGAATAATATCAAAGTTTGTGGGATGCAGCAAAAGCATTAATTATCTTCTCAAAGGTCTCAAACCAGTGTGCTAACCTTCCACCTTGGAACTAGAAAGTGAGGACTCAAGCCCGCAAAAGGACAAAAATGTTTCAGATAAACTGAGAACACAGAAACCAATGAAACAAAAAGCAAGTTCTTTGAAAGGATAAAAATTAATTTTTAAATATTCTCCAGTTGGAAACCAAATTTAAAAACAGAGAAAAGAGATAAACTACCAACATCATGAATAAAAGAGGGATGTCATTACAGAACCCTGGTTACTTAAAAAGACCGTAAGAAAATACTAAGAACCACTCTGAACATAAGCTTGACAAATGGGATGAGATGTTCCAATTCACTGACAGGGAGAAACTACCACACCTGAAATGACTTAGTAGCTAAAAACCTAAGAAAGAAGACAACCTGCAGGCCCAGACAGCCTCACTGGTGGATTGCACCAAACAAGGAGAAGTAACACCAATTCCACACAAATTCTCCTATCAGTCAAAAGTGCAAGGATCAATTCCCAGCTCATCTTATGAAGCCAATATTACTTTGATACAAAAGACAAAGACATTATAAAACTACAAACCAAGTATCCCTAATGAACACAAACGTAAGACTCTTCAGCTAGCCAGGCACAGTGACAGGACTGAGAGGTCAAGGCCAGCTTGGGCTACACAGTGAGACTGTGTAGCCAAAATGCCAAACAAAACAAAATAAAGCAAATCAAAGCCAACAAAAAGAGTGTCTACATGATAACCAAATAAGATTTATAACAGGAATGTAAAGCTCGTTCAGTATTTAAGAATTAATCAGTGGAACTCATTACATCAACAGACTGAAGCAGGGAAAGATTTGCTATCTCAAAAGATGCAGAAAAAGCTTTCAGGAAATTTTAACATCCTTTCATAGTAACTTTTTTTTAACCAAGTTCCCATCTAGGGGGAAAGAAGTGCAACTCACTGCCAGCATTCATTTAATTTTTGAGGCAGAAGCAAATCTAACTTGTTTCAATGTGAAAATAAAATACAAAAACTGTTCCTGGAGTTATTTCTAAGCAGAACATGTCTCTAATCCTAATGTAACCCAAAAAAAAGTATATTATGGCCAATATTTAATAATTTTGGGGTTTTGGGGGTGGAATTTTGTGTTTGTTTTTTTGTTTTTTTTGTTTTTTAAGATGGTCTCACTGTTCAGGTCTCACTGCACTCAGTTGAACTCAAGGCAATCCTCCTGCCTCAGCCTCCTGAGTGCTGGAATTACAAGCATGTGCCACCACACCCAGGGATATTTAATAATTTTATATATGATAAATTTCAATGCACAGGACAACACAAAGCAGAATAGCACATTCCACACAAAATATCATGTTTCTCTCTGGATCTTCTTGCCCTCCTTGTTGTTGTGTGAGCAGCAAACTTTGCAGCACCCAGTTGGATTGTCTCCCTGATGCTGGTGTGGCATGCTCCTGGGGAAATGTCTTCAGACTGACAAAGAACTGTGACGTTGTCAGAGCATGGGCAAAGATGTTGCTGCTCTGGCTTGTCACACTCTTCCAACATTCTTTCAATTGCTGTCAGACTGAATGCTGCATGGCTGATGATGTGCTCGGGGTTGTCCCTCTTGAATGGGTTGCAGCAAGTCAGCACTGTCATGTTTAGAAGGCAGAGAAGGAATTTTTATATCAAATCTTGTGCCCTTTGCACTCAGTTGGATAAAAGTGTCCATCCGATCACCTAAAGTCCTTGCTCCCACATTCTAAGTCACACGACACATAGCTTCTTAGTTTTCTTGCCATTTCTGTTTCCTAATTCAATCATAGTATCATTGTAGAATGCTGGCAACACTGTCACTTCCTGCTTGTTACACCATTTCAGCACCATAGGTTCACCACAGAATCTGGCTACAGTCATCCACTTTGTAATCCTTTTCTTCAGATCATCTGCCATCTGCTTCTGTTCAAATGAGCTGTTCCAACTGCATCAGACCTATTTTGATGTAATTCTTTGAAAAGCATGGGAGATGTATAAAAGTTATCAAGGAAGACATTGTGTCTTAGTTTTCTTTACTGAGACAAAATACCCAATACCCAAAGTTAAAGGAGGAAAGGATTATTCGGTTGACAGTTCACAGAGGTTTCAGTTCATAGCTGGCTTGCTCCAAGGCAGGGTGGCATGGCAGAGGGGCATCACTGAGGAGAAACAGTTCATGGCAGGCAGAAGCCAGCAAGGTAAGTGAGAAGCACCAATAGTGGCTTCTTTCTGTCCTTTTGTATTCTACCTAGGCTACTCATTCTTAGGGGAGATAGCACTCATACCCAGAACTATGCCAAATCAATCAGTGGACTGATTTAGTAATTGCATATCCTTAATCCCAGGATCACACACTCTAGATTCAGCTAGCTCTGTAAAAGCCCCACCTATGACCACAGGAGGCTTTGGGGAGACACCTAGATACAGGCCATAACACTGGGCAAAGAACAATGCAGGAAAATTTCACCCCATCAGCTGAATCTTTCAAATTCATACAGGGTCCTATGTGAATAAGCGCAGTCCACACATAACCAGACTGACTTTCACAAAATACATGTGTCTGGAGACCAAAGAGTGCTCATTCTGTTGGGATATACTGCTTTATAGCTAACCACTCCTTGAACAGCAACAGTGATTTTCCAACTGCAATGCTTCTATTTGCAATATACAGTATACAGTTGAAAACTTGTCAAAAGTGGGTTTGTGTGGGGTGTGGCTGAAGCTGGAGATCAATCGCACATGCAGCGCTGGAGCAAGGCTGGTTGTGAGAACAAAGAGCACCTGAGGTGAGCCACGTGAACAAGCTGCTCCAGTCCGGAGAACATCAGGTTCCTGAGGCAATCCAAGCAAACAGGTGGTAGGCAGGGGGGTGTCACATGACATCAACCAGTGGAATGTAGAAATAGATGTGCTGCGGTGATTGAAAAGTTCCTTTTCATCTACAGCCATACCACCCTGAACATGCCCAATCTTGTCTGGAAGTTCCTTTTATCCTGCCTGACCAAAGCCTTCTGTCTTCTGACTCTGGTCTTTATTTCTTCATCCTCTACCATCTTTCACCCCCAAAATCTCAAGAGCTGTGCTGGAGGTGGCAGGTTTGATCTTATGCAATAAAATATGGGCCTTTAACTGACCAGGGGCTCCGCAAAAACTGTTGACAAAATACAGGCACTGAAGCAGTCATACTTTGGCTGAGATAAGATGCATTCCAAAGAGGACTTGTCCATCAAAACAACTCCAGCTCAGGCTTCCCCACAGCACCTCACAGTAACATTACTGCAGAAACATTTTCAGTTGGTCATTTTCATTGTCTTTCCATTTATCCCATGCAGGAAAATCCTTTCAGACCAAATGGCTTTGAAGCCAACAAAGCAGCTTGGGCATTAATTTTTGGTAATTTTTCAAACTAATCTTTAGTAAAAGACAGCTCAAAATACTGTAGTGGATTAGTGTGCAGATAGTCTACCTTTGATGTGGGTTATAACATGACCATTTCAGAGCACAACCTCAGTCAGCTGATGTCGGGCTATTTCCAGCAGGTTCCCAACGGGACAGAGACCTGACTGTATGGTCTTCCAAAGCGCCATCCTAAAAATCATCAGAATTGTCTATTTTAGAAAAACTAAATCCATCACATGAACCTTCAGCTAGTAACTGTTTGAGGTGATGTTAATATCATACATAAGAATGTTTTCTAGGATTCGACATTTTCAGTGATTCAGAATTACTATGTAAATGGAAATATCACTTTACTAAGAACAGACTGCTACAAAGAGAACTGTGTCTTTTGTCTGCAAAGGCTGTTGATATACTACAGCAGTGCAAAAATAATAGAACAGTATTTCATTTGTGGGGAAAAGGTTAAGACTATAATCTGTGAGTTACCTCATGTTTAATGCTGAAACCACAAGCAACCACTGGCAAGTATTCTTGGGGTAAAAGGAAACAGATTACAAAAACTCAGCAAAGTAGGAATAGTTGGGAACTTCCTCAACTTGATAAAGGACATCTGTACGAAGTACAGAGCTAGTGACTGTCACACATGATGAGAGATTGAGCACTTTACCCCGCAAACTGGGACCAAGACAAGGATGTTGACTCTTATTACTCTCGCTTATTATTTTACTAAGGGCCCTAGGCAATAAAATATGGCATGAAAAACAAGTAAAATGCATAGAGATTAAAAAGAAAATAAACAAGGTGTGGTGCTGAATAACTATAATCCTAACTACTGAGGAAGCTGAACCAAAGTATTACAGGTTTGAAGATAGCATAGGCATCAAGACCCCATCTGCAAAAAGGAAAAAGACATGAAATAAAGTAAACTCTATTCGCAGACATGACCACTTACATAAGATACCTCACAGAATCCACAAAATACAAAGGCCAAGAGAACTAATAAATTTAGAAAGGTTAAAGAATACACAGTCAACATACAACTATTTCCATATGCCAGCAATGAACAGAAAAATGAAATTTCAGCAACATCACCATTTGCAATAGTCCCAAAAATCATGAAAAGCTTAGGCATAAATTTAACAAAGCATGTGTAATATCTATATGCTTAAAACTATAAAACTTTGATGAAATAAACTAAAGAAAAAACTACATGAATAGAGAGATATACTGTTTGTGAGGAGAGACAATATTTTTTAAGATACCAAATTCTACTCAACCTGACCTATCGATTCAATAGCACTCAATCTAAAAACAACCCCAGCAGGATTTTTAAAAATCTGCAAACTGCTGGATGTGGTGACACATGCCTCACATACCTACAGTACTAGCACTCAGGAGGCAGAAGAGGATCACTGCAAGTTTGAGGGTAGCATGCATGACATAGATAGACCGCATTTCAAAAAAGAATCTGACAATGAGTGGTGGAACACACTTGTAATCTCAATACTTGGGAAGTTGAGGCAGAAAGATTGCTGCAAAGTAGATGCCAGCCTGGGCTACATAGTGAGTTCAAGGCCAGCCTGAACTACATACATAGTGAGACCCTGACTCCAAAACAAAACAAAAAAATCTACAAATTAATTCTAAAATACATATAAAAAGGCAAAAGAAAAAAAAAAAAACTAGAACTGTCAGATGGTTTTGGAAAAACAATTAAAGCCCTAACGCTATTTCATTGATTGCAAGATTTATTATAAGGTAAGAGCAATCACAACAGTATTGAAGAAAGGATAGTCATTAGATCAATGGAGCAAAAAGGAATCCAGAAATAACATCCACACATACATGGCCAAATGATTCTTGAAAAGGTACAAAGGCAATTCAATGGAAAAAGAAGAGTTTTCCACAAATGGTATTGGAACAAGTAGGTAACCATATGTTTGAAAAGAAAGATATTCAAAAGTAAATACAAAAGTAAATGTAAATCCTGAACTATTAGCATCCAGAAGAAAACAAAAGAATATTTCTTAGATATGATACTAAGCACACAATCCATAAAAGAAGAAAGTTGTTAAGCTGGATCTCAGCAAAATTTTAAGTATCTAGCCAGGCACAGTGGCACATGCATATTATCCCATCTTCAGAGGCTGAGCCAGAAGGATTCCAAGTTCAAGCACAGCCAGGGAAACTAAGGAAGACCTATATCAAAACTATAAAAACAATTCAAAGTTATTTGGATGGCACTCAAAAGAATAAGAAGGCAAGCAACAGACTGAGACAATGATGGCGGCCAACCTTTTAGAGACCGAAGGCCCAAACTGCAACCCCAAAGCCACTTACTTATCACAAAGTGCCAACACTGCTCCTATGTGCACTGTTATTCCGTGCTCAGCTGCTGGGGTAATCCTGGGGCAACTTGGCTCAGATGCCAACGAAAAGGGCTCTGCATGACCACTGTGGCACATGTACCATAGACTTGCCACCACTGGGCTGAGAGATAATACCAAAGAAACAATATTGGCCATAAATCGGAAGAATTAAACCTAGTTGATTGGTACATATAAACATGTTTGTTATGGAAGTGTCTACTTTTGTATAGTTAAAATTATCCAAAATAAAAAAGAATAACTTTTTTTTGGTCTTTTTGAGACAGGGTTTCACTATGTAGTTCAGGTTGGCCTTGAACTCACTTTGTAGACCAGGCTGGCCTTGAACTAGCAGCAATCTTCCTGCCTCAGCCTCCTGAGTTCTGGGAATACAGGCATGTGCCACCATTTAGAAGACACAGGCAGAGTTACAGGAGTAATATGAAAACTGAATGTTCATCCTACAGTTACAAAAGAAGCTATGTATTCATAATTTCTTTTATGTGGTATTTAAATTCCACAGGCAGATGAAAAGCAATTGTCCTATGGGCACACTATTTTGGAAGCTGGTGAATGGCATTCTTCACCTAGTAGTTTGTAGCTCTGTTTCCTTTTTTAAACAATTTTTTTCAATAAGATAAAACTCTGAATTTCAGTGATTTCTGAGAAAATTTATCATCTTCCCCACAAATCCACTCAAACCTTGATCTGAAACACTGAGAAGTTCAACATCCAAGCAGAAATTCCCTGTTCCAGTCTCCATACTGAGCACCCTATTGACTTCAAAATCAAGGAAAAAAACTTTCAGGGAGGTTGTGCATAGGTCATTGGTACAACACTTTTCTGGCATGTGTGAGAGGCCATAGATTGGATCCTTGTACCACAAAAATAAATAAATTCTCCCATGATGAGGTGGGAAGGAAGGAAGGAAAGAAGGAAGGAAGGAAGGGGAGCGAGAGGAGGGAGGAGAGAGAAAAGAGAGGGAGAGAAGGAGAGAGAGCAGGCAGGCAGGAGAGAAAAAAGGAAACTGGCCTCAGTGAAGCCCACACAGAAACTCTGGAAAAAGGATGTCCAGAGCACCCTGGTGTTTTGGAGAGTGTGAGGAGTTCTCTTTCCCACAAGCTCTTTACTGGTAGATTATATAACACCGACCATGTCGCGGTTCTTGGAATCTCAAAGACAAACACCCAAGAACAGTGAGGGTCTCTTTTTCCCTGAGGCTGGCAGTGGGAGAAGTGGCCCTGGTAGAGAACTAGGGCAGAAGGCTGCAGGCACAATCCTGGCTACATCACTTCTCAGCTCAAGCCTCTGAATGCACTCAACAGTTCTCCTCTGCTCCACTTTTCCCCATGCAAACCAGATGTCTTTGCTATTAAGTTCAAACAGTTTATATTTTAAAGTTGTGCTTTATAGTAAACTTATGGCTACATCTCACATTTTCATCAAGTATACTTTCACCTGCTCAACCCCTCTTCAAAGACTCCAAACTCTGTCCATGCTCAAGCACCCTTGGACACAGAACGAACACCAGAGGCAGAGCTCCAGGGACGGTGGTTACGACTGTACCTTCTGTCCTGCAATGACAACACGATCCCCCAACTTCAGGCCAAGAGATGAAAGCACTGCCTTGCCAGTCACAGGGTCACAGTTTGGGAGCATGGCCTTGGAGAGGCACGACACAGGCACCACATCTAGCAGCATCTGCTTGACTTCCTTAGCAACTGCTGCAGCGTCAGCCATTTCTAACGGCATATCCACTGGGTCTGGAACGACATCAGCAGGGATCTGTCCTTTGTCATTCTACAAACAGAGGTAAAAGAAATTTTCCAGCTCTTATTTACTTGTAATGCTGAACAGTCATATAAAATTATTTTTTGGAAAAAAATTTAAATTAAACATATTTATCATCTCTTTACTGACAAATATAGACCCAACAATTACTACATGACAGACACCATTCCAGGTGCTGAAGATAAGCATTGAAGAAAACGAAACGCTCTTGAAAAGCAGACATTCTGGTGGGAGAGACAAACTGTAAACAAGTAAACAATGATATGGTTTATGGAAGAGCAGGAAGTGGCACAGGGGAAACAAAGCAGAGCAGGAGGGTAAAGAACATGGCCACAGAGGGTTCAGACAGGGAGCTGTCACACAGAGTGGTCAGGGCAGTGAAGGCTGCGTGTGAAAATGCCTTTACACACAGATCCAAAGGAGATGAGGCAGTGACCATGCAGGTTCCTGCCAGGCAAACACTTCCTATTCACTGGGCAGGGACAGTGCGGGCATGCCTTGCTGGGCAGGTATGGAGAAGGCAAGCTTGGAAATACAAGCCAGGGTTGATCAGCTCCCTGGTGGCGTGTACAGCTACAGCCACACACCACTTATTGACGTTTCTGCCAGCAACAGACCTCGCAATTCAACAGTGCCTTCTCCATGAGACTGATGTCACCTAGTGGCATCCTAGTTGTTTTGTTTAAGCAGGTACACTCCATGATGTTCGCACAGGGACCCAAGAGTCTAACACATGCACTTCTCAGCACGCACCCCCATCACTAAGGGACACCACATGAGTATAGGCCACGATGCCACCGTTGCCACCTCAGCTCTGCGGCCTCAGCCTCCTGCCCACTCATGTAATAATTCAGATTTCAGAGTTAGAAACTAGACTTTCTTCTGAAATTTGGGCTGTCATCAAGAAAATATGTTCTGTTCTCACTATAAAGGAGAGCCCATATTCTGAGATTTATCCTGTGATAGGCTAAAGCAGCCGGGTATCACTTACTTCATTAACATGGTGTTTATATAATTAAAGCCTCATCATTAAAAATTATCTCCCTTGATTCCCACATCAAGAAAAAGCTTGTGAACAAACAGAATGCCCCCCCCTTAGGAGTTCACATTGTATTAGCAGAGACAAAGCAAAGACTACTGAAATTTCCAGTATGCCTAGTAGGAAAGTCAGGCTCAAAGAGATTAATGACTCCCTCAAGTCATTTTCACATTCCCAGCACAGATGACATTTCGACCCATGCCACCTACACCCTAGCCAAACCCTCCCAGCTCTGCGTCTTTCCACTCTCGGTGCTGTTCTTCACCCACAACTTCTCTTTCTTTTTATGTTCTCTAATCAAACACCTTACACTTCACAAGGAAGAGTCCAGGTTTTAATTTTCTTTTAATATAACCAGTCAATCGTTAACTGAGAAACTGTTTTTCTTTTTCTTTGACACTGCTTCTCTTTTGCTGCCCCACTGGTGAATTTTCAAGTGATCCATTCCAATAAAAGAATGAAGATTTTAGAATACACTTAGTTAGCGAATGTTATATATATTTTTTTTAAAATTAAGTTAATTTGATCCTAACTAAAAAATATAGAGGGAATACATGCTATCAGATTTATGGAATAGTGATGGGCTATTTTAACACCCGATTTCAAATGAAAAAACAATACATAATGAATATATACATTGTCATAAGTATACTATCTAAGAAAGAGGGGTGGTTTGCTGATAAGTAGGAAGCTATAATTTATGGCTATTTTAACTTTAGACTTTTGTTATGTCCTCAATGTTAAGAGCCAATCACACACTTCTGTTAATTTGTATAAACTTTAGCAATCCAAACTTCTATTAAAAAAAACAAAGTAATAATAATAAAATAACAGCAATGATGTTTTTCTAATAGGAGAAGTCTCATTCATGACCAGTTATGGAATTCCTTTCTTTGTCTTTCTTTCTTGCTTTCTTTGTTTTTTTCTTTCCTTTTCCTTTTCCTTTTTCTTTTTCTTCCTTTACTTCTTCCTTTTTTATAGTTCTAAGGATTGAACCCAGCACCTTTACACTAATCTATATTCCCAGAATATTTCCCTTTTTTTTTTTTTTTTTTCAGACAGGGTCTTACTAACTTGCTAAGATGTCCAGCTTGGCTCGAACTTGGGATCCTCCTGTCTTAGCCTCCCATGGGACTAGGATTATAGGCGTGTGCTACCATGACTGGCAGAAGTTCTATTTTTGTCTAACACTAGTGGCTATCAACATGTGGCCAGAGATAATGCCGACTCACATTTTGACTGTTTTCAAAGGTTTTCTCTTTGTTGGGTTTTTTTTGGGGGGGTGGGTTTTTTTTTTTGGTTTTTGAAGACACGGTCTTTCTATGCAGGCCAGGGTGGCCTTGAACTCATACCAATCCTCCTTTCTGACCACTTACTCCATTTTTAAAAGTGTATTTATTTTAATTCTGCATCTAGTTGTCATTCTTTAGGGATAAATTTTCTTTTCAAAAGAATTTAAAGTATGATTTAATTGAAAAGTATAACTTTAATACATACATTTTTATTTAACAGCTAACTTTTCATAAATATATCAAAAGCCTAAGTGAAAAACACTTAAACTCTAAGGTCTTGACACTTTAAAGAGGATTTTACTTTCCTGAATAAGAGCTTTGTAGAACTTAATGTAAGAGGACTGACAGTTGCTGTGCAACCTGAAATTTAAGGAAAGACTGTCAACATCCTCTTCAAGTACACAAAGGTACTTGCTCATATAAGAGTTCTTCCATGAATAACAACACCCAGACTCAACTCTACTTGGAGATAATACCAGGTCTTTTTAATTCCTTTACTTCAACCTCTTACCCGAAATGCAGGGTTTGCTCCATGCTCCAGTAAGCACTTTACAGCACCTGCACATAAGTTATATGCTGCAATATGCAGAGCCGTTCCAAAATTAAAGTCACTGCAAGTGGCATCCACATCTGCAATTAAACATGGGAAGCATATTAGCTAAGGTTTTAAATTTATCCATTATAATTTAAAAGGAGATAAGAGGTTTGTTTGCAGGGGGGAATGCTTTTATAAGACTTAAGTCAACTCACCAGAAACTATTTCACAATGAAACGAAATTTTTGTATTACAACCTGGCTAAAATAATCAGCTGCTTATTTTCCCAGTACAATAAAACTCATTACAGAATGGAGTCACACTCTCATAAGTTTTCCAGCTATCATAAATTAAACCATATTAAGAGTAATGAAGGACAACAACTCCTATCTGTAAAAGTAACTGGCTTCCTGTACTCTCATGGAATCGCTTGCATATTTACCATGACAACCACAGAGAGGTAGTAGGGTTTAGGTTAGGAATCAGCAAACTATGATCCCTGGGTCAAATCTACCACCATCTGTTTTTATAAGGCTTTAGAGGAATACACACACACTGACGCACTGACATATTCTCTACAGCTACTTTCGTGCTACAACCGTGCATCAGAGTAGTCAGGACAGAGGCCACTGTAGTCTGAAAAGTAATAAAGTATGTATTTACTGTCTGGGCATTTCCAGAAAAAGACTGCAAATCCCCTACCAGGAAAAACAATGCCAACTTTCCAAGCCAATTACAGACTAAATGTTTACATACATACTGATTCATAATACTCTATTCAACAAATGCATTTGAACTTCATACTAAGAAAAGGAATCTTACAATTCTAAGGACATTCTGAACTTTCAATAAGTAATCCCCCCGACTTGGGAATCCCATTCTGAATTTTTCTGTAACAAAAGTCCAGTACATCTCTTATCCTGGAAATCTGACTTTAATCTACAACCCTGTATTCCCCACCTACAATTGCAAGCAACCCAGACGGGCTCAGGACAGACTGTCTCAAATTACTAAGATATGCTACCATCAACAGAAATTAAAAGGTAGCATTTTAAAGAAAAAAATGGATAATTATATAAATCAGAGCTTAGCAAACAGTATTCTGGGACGTTTGGTGAATGTCTAAAACATGTCTTTTACTGTACAGCTTTTTTTTAATTTAAAGGAATGCTCTCTTTGCTTGCTCCCTTTTTTTTTCTCAGAAGAAAACTGACACCCAGTAGGAGACAGGAAGTTAAAATACCAGGTCAGGGTTTTAGACATTCTGGTTTTCAATTTGAGTATCACCATCAAGATAAAGAGAAGGGAGCCCTCCAGAAAGTTTACCCTTTAAATTGCATCACAGGAATTATGCGATTCAAAGGAAATATCCTTTATTATTTTGATGCCTATTTCTCAAGGCTTTATCGTTCCATTCCTGGCTCCCCAAGCAAGTCAAGGAATTATAAAGCTGATAGAATCTACACATAAAATTTACATTTTACTGGAGAATTTGCTGAGACGGGGAAACCCACGTACGCATTTTTTGTTTTATATCAATTTGTAACCAGCTTTTCATGAAAGAAGAGCAACTAATCTTCAATAATGAAATTCTACACCATCTCAGAAATAAAATGGGCAGGCAAGTTTACAAAACAAGATGTATTAATGAAGAAAAATCTCCTTGAACTATAATTTTTTTGCCACCACGAAGCCTTATATCTATGGTCATCTGACAGTACTTGCCTTTTGGTTTTGATGTCTTCAAAATCACTCTTATAACTTCGGGGACATCAAAATAGGCAGCATAATGCAAAGCATTCATATTTGTCCAGCGACTCCGCAAACTAACATCTGCTCCTAGATCAATAAGCTGAGCTGCAAATTTCACAGCTGTCTCAACATCACCTAAAGAAAATTTTCTAAATTATTTTTCTTTAGTACAAATTTCAAGTACAAATCGATAATCACATACTATTTCATTTAAAAAGGTAAAGCAAACATCACACTGAATATACATTTACACCTCAAAAATGTCACTTTCAGGAATTTATTCTAAGGAAATAATCACACTTAGGGATATGAATAAACATTGCTCTGTAAAGATGTTCCTAACTGTTTATTATGAATAAAATTCTGAAACCTAAAGTACAATAAAATGATTAAATTGAAATATGCACATCTTGGAATACTGTACTATAAGCCATTAAAAACAAGGTGCTAGATCAGTGATATTCAAAGTTCTGGGGGCTGGGGATTTAGCTCAGTGGCACAGCGCCTGCCTGGCAAGCACAAGGTCGTGAGTTCGATTGCTGGTACCAGAAAAAAAACCAAAAAACAAAAAAACAACAAAAAAAAAAAAGTTCTGTGGACACTGTCAGTCCCAAGCTGCAGTCTGTCTGTACTTTTTGTAACTCTTTTTTCCCTCATTTAATATTTCTTCCAATCAAGTAAAATGTAACTTTATACCCTTTAAAAAACATTTGGACTTATATTTTTCTTCATTTCATTTTTTTATGATAATTCATTTTGTTTTATTTTACAAAAGCATCAGTCCATGGTGGATTGTAGTGGGGAGAAAGAAGTCCTTCACCACCAATAGAAGTTCAAGAAGCTCTACATCAGACTACTGGAACAGGAAGAGGCAATCACAAAACATGTTAAGAAAGGGAGGTTTATAAAATGGTAAAGCACAGAACAATTCCAGTTTTAGAAAATACAGACATGTGTATTACAACGTTCACTACAGTGTAAAGCCTGGAGTGTGTGGGGAATACTAAACCTAGAAAACTGACCTCAAACTGACCTTGCTGTAATCCCTCAAGAAGATTCTAGGGCAGTGATGGTGAACCTTTTAGTGCTTTCAATGATAACAGACAGCTCGCTGCAGCACGCGTGCCCTTGGTTCACCACCACTGTTCTAGGGTATTACCAGTCACTTCACCCAGTGAAGTATTAAACAGGCTGTTGAAAAGGTGAGAGGAACTGACAAGGTAAGACTTCCTTGAGAAAAGAGAACTAGGTCTTGAAGGATCCAAGTATTCTGGCTATATTGTCAGCTGAGTGCCCTCCAGGGTCTCTGGCAGACACTGAGATTATTTAAGAATAAATGCAAGTGATCCAAGCAAGCAAGAAGATGCCACATACTTACCAATACCATGAGCTCCAGACTTGCAAGTATAATGTAAAAGAGTCATATCCGTCAATCCATCTCTGTCATTCACATTGCAACCTCTTTTAAGAATCTAAAATAACCAAGGAAAATATGATTACAACACAACTACTGAAGTACCAGTTACTTTCAAACCACTGGAGAAGAGGCAAGTTAGTCTACCTTATCTGAATTACACTTAACACTGCACCCAACAAGTATGGAAATTGAACTTGTCACCAGACAGGAAGAAATTCTTACAGATTACTCCAAGGCAATCTGTTACTCCAAATACTTTCTTCTCTGAAAAGTGAGCAAAAATTTCCCCAGTGGGTATAATGACATTTGAAAAATGTGTAAGTGCTCTTTTCCTACAAGATGAAATATTGGTCAGAAATCCTCCCTCAAAAATCAAATATTGTTTAAAAATTGTATTTAAGCCTATATCTTTATCAAACTACTCAGAAGTATAGATAGAATATGAAGCAAATCAAATCCCTTCATGCTTGAAAGTTTGCAAATTTGTACACAAAAAGGTGTGGTATATAAAAACACCCCTCACTGCTCCCATCAAAACACTTGGAAATAAAAAAAAAGACAAAAGAAAAATCACCTGTAAATACAAGCAAAACTGAACTTTTGAATGGTTTCACTTTCGCTACTATCTTTCCATTCAGGTGGAGGGGAGGTAACCACATCATTAGCAATCCTAACAATGCAAAACTTAAAATGTAAGAACTTTTTTTTTTACCTCATTTCCAATAATGTCAATGTTTTGTTGGACCTGAGGAACCCATTGTCTTAAGATGGCAAATAATTCTGAGACTGAAGTTTTGGGATCAAAGAGAATTTCCTGGCATGATGCATCATTAGGATCAAAGAAAGAAAACTCTGTTTGAAATAAAAAATGTAAATTAAATTTATTAAAAGTTTCAAATAAATATAGTGAAAATAATAACACCAAGGTTCAAATAATAACAATATTTTTAGATCCTAGAAAAAGCAAGTTTACCACAAGCAAATCTCAAAACCACTATCAGGACCACTAAAAATGAGGCTTATCTGAATTGTGATAATGAGATTTTGATGTATCATCTACACTTTACTGTAGATGAAACCAAATGTGAGTGCACAGATCTCAAACCCTGAGTTTTCCAGGTAGCATTACCTTTAAGGCACAGAAAGTCTATTAAAATTGTCAGTATTTTTTCTCTCAAAACACATGGATGGAGTATGGGATAGGATGGGACATAAAAGGGATGAAAACAGGAATTAAGATGTGTCATATACATGTACCAACTCCCAACAAGGAGGGTAATCATGTACTACACACATGCAGTAATAAAGAAAATGATCTGGAAAAAAATTAAAACACAAATGTAATGGACAAATTTACATCTATGATTAAAACATAAATTTAAAAATATGCCAAATATTAAGTGTAGTAGAAAGATTTATCATTTGAAGTGTTCTTTGTATTTTTCTGTATTCCCCTAATTTTCTATAATGAACAAGCATCACTTTTTACCCACTGACGAACCAGGAGGGGAAAGGCTACTTCAACCAAAAAGGAAGCAGTATTTGGCAGTGTAGAAAGGAAAGAAACCCTGGGACAAAGGTTTTGGAATCTGTATTAATAAAATCATGAAATCCTCGACAAAATTGAACATTTGATCTAAATAGTTCTTAATATGACTTTCCTGAGATTTAGAGAAAAGTCAGATATGGTCCTTTAACTAGAGAATAAAAGAAAATGGCTCATAAAGGAAATAAAAATTTCAAGAGAACAAAATTAGATTCTAAAATGAGACACTAAATAGCTAATCATCATCTTAAGTTATTTTTCTTGTTGAGGAACTGTCTCAATCAAAAATGGCAGAGACTATAAAAAGCAGAAAGCAGTATCTAAAAAGGAGAAACATTACAGAACTAACATTTGCTGAGCACATACAACTTGACAAACACTTTCCAGAGGCCTACAAACATCTTACCTGCTAGGTACTGTTATCCTTATTTTGCAGAAGAGGAAATCAAGGCTCAAACTAAATAACACTAGCTCAAAGCCACACTGCTAGTAAGTGGTAAATCTCGGAAGGAAGCTGGGTCTGTCTCTATAGTCTGTCCCACATTCTAGTTTGCTGCTTCCCTGGGAGAACTTGCTGTCAAGTTCAGACTGGAGTTGCACAAACTAGTAGTGTAATTTGGGGTTTTTCTTAAATTTCTTCTTTATACTTTTTATATGTTTTCCAAAATCATGCTAAATACACATAATTCTTACTTTTAAAAAGCAGGGATAACTAAAAGATGAAGAGGAACAAAATCTCTAAAAGTAGAATAGTCGCTCATTAGAAGAGAATCAGTTCTCCAAATTTGTTGAGTGCCTTTTGCTGAAGATTATCAACTGGTCACCCTGCTCTGTTCAAGCAGGGAAACTTGATTCCCTGTGTTTCAGAACAGCTGTTGAAAATGGGGCCTCTCACAGTTAAACCCGCTCAGAGACTCTAATCAAAGATGAGTTCTACCTGGTGCAAAATTCCTATGGACCAGGTGTGAGAATCTTACAAAGGATACCTTAGAATTACAACGACCACTTCGGGAAACTGTTAACTTAGATAAGATACTACACCTGAGTTAATGGTGCCCTTGAAAAGAAAGGATTCTGAACTTCCCAAAGACAAAAGAATGTATTTGATGACTTTAAGCAGAAGTTTCTCATATCAAAATGACTCAAACATAACTTCTGTAAAATAATGCTTACAACATGCAAATGAAAAATCCTTGGTAGAAAGTTCTGGCCATCTGGTGGGTAATCCTGACTTGTTCCATCTACCTGAGGCACAGTATGAATCCAGATTCACTTATAGACTAGGAAGTTCCATATCATTTTATCTGATACATTGCTAGAGTTTTGAAATGAAGCTAAAACAATGTGTCTGTACATTTATGTGTATTACATGTTAAGCAGACACAAGTAAAAGCAAGAACTTATACAAACTGTTTCTTAAACTCTCAGAAAAATAGAAACTAATCCAAATGCTTTTCAGAATATTACCTTGGGAAATAAAAATACTACTGCTTTACTAAAAAAAAATAAGGAAATGGCAAGCAAAGTTTTTAGCATTACATATATAAAGAAGCCATACAAATTTCTTTCTGCGTAGGTCTACTACTGAAAAAGGGCCACAATGTAAAACAAGTCAGTTACAAATAAATTCATGCTAAGGGAAAGAAGGGGAAACTATGTATGCATGTATATACAGGAGAGCTAACATAGTTGATCTACTGTCTTCTATTTCTTTGCTGAAAGAAACTGTTAATAAGTCCTTGATTGATCAATATTGCATGTCTTTATTTGTTTTCATGAGAAATCACTTTGAAGATATCAATACGTAATACAACAAGCATTGTTAATTTCCTATCACTTTGTTTGTAACTCAGTATTGTCTGTACTGTTCTTTTGCTATTTTGTAAAAGGTTGTCTGTTAATGTTTTCCTCCTTTTATTTTTAAAATAAAAAAACAAACTCATGCTATCTCAACATTACACAATTTCTCACAAAAAAATAAATAAGTTGATGTTAGCTAATGTCCCATGAAATTTTCAAGTGTAATTGTTAAAAATGAATTCAACTGATGTAAATCCACATAAGATAAACATTAACTACTGAACGTAAGTTTATCTAATTTTGGACAAAAGAATTAAAGATATTTGGGGTTACCAAACATGACCTATGGCTAAAAAGCTGTATAATGAGGAAACACATGCTTCTAGAAATTATAAAATCATGTAGTCATAGATTTGCCAATCTACAAAACGCTAACATGATAATTTCAAAAAGGTATTAAGCATGAAAATGTGGGTTTTGTCAAAGAAAAGGAAAATAAAGGACCAATGTAAATAGCCACAGAAAGATGGGGGAAAAAATATTCTGTGGTCAAGCTGGTTAAAAATCAATGAATTTATTAGCATTAAGTTCCAAATGATGCTAAACTAGATTCTGAGCTCCTCAGTGAAAATAATGGAAGTTTCTTAGAGTACTGATCTATTCTTGATGGAAAAATATGAAAGGTTTTTATTTAATTTTTAAGTGATCCTCCTAGGAAGCAAGGATTCTGTGTCTTGTCAAGGTAAGTTCCTGTGATTCATAGTGGCTTTGCCAGATCTTCAATCAGTCAAGCTTTTGATGAAAAGAGCCAAGATTTTTTGGTGTTTTCTTGTAATCTTCTGCATCTGACTTTAAGATCTTTCTCACTTTGGTCAAATGGAGGCCTGTGATGCTAATCAAGCGTTTCAAATCTTGATAATTTTCAACTGAGAAGAATCAGGAAAAAAAATGGTATTCAATTTAGAGAAGCACCTCACAGTTTTTTGAACACAGTCTCAGGTATGTTTCTCATCAAAGCAGTTACAGAATTTCCTTTTGGTCTAATTCATTCATCAAGTTACCACTTAGTTATGGAAAATTAGTATTAGTAACTATTTTGTACTAAGAAATTTCTCAAGACTCTTTTGCATATGTCCATAGGAGTCATCTACAAAAATGCTTATTTTAACACTGATTAAATTGGTACACTGAAATGAATCTTCAGAGGAACAGACAGGAATGTTTCTATGCTTATTTACATTAAATAAATGAAGTAAATATCTTAGTCATGTATTGATAAAGACAGACCTCAACAACATTCTGCTGAATAAACTGACTTGCAGAATGATATATACATATCTATTAATTACATTAAATAGTAAATACACAAAACACTACTTCACATTGTTCATAAACCCTTGTATATGTAGTATAACAAAAGTGTCTGGAATATACGCATTTTAAAAAGTAGTTATCTCTGGAGAGTAAGGAATATTGTACTAGAATGGAAAATAGAGGAAAATTCAACTTTATATTTAAAGTTTTATTCTAAGTTTTTCAAAGAGCTAAATATGAGAAAATGTATTTATTCATTCCAACAGTAGATGTGTTATGTTTGTTGTCATTGTATTTTCTATATTTCAATTTTTTTTAACATTAGAAAAGGAAATACAACAGGAAAAAAGATCCCATACAAAATAATAAAAATAACTCTACCTACCAATGTGTGAGGCTTATTTAAAGAAAACTAAAGAGGAAGTGAAAGTTCTTAAATGGCATGTGAAGCATCACATCCCTGGACTGGAAGATAAACTATTTAAAGCTGTCAATTCGCTCAAGAACAGATTTTAAGCAATTTCAATACTTAAAATTCAATTCGAGCACTTCACTAGAACTTATTTGAACTGTATCCTCTTTTTCCTTTGGGCCACAGCTTCCCCAACATCAACACAGGAAGTATCTAGAGATCTTGTTATGATGTACATTCTGACCCAATGAGTCTCCTTGTTTCTAACAAGCTTCAAGGGGTGCCAAAGCTGCTGGACCAAGGATCACACGTAAGCAGCAAAGACCTAGAATGTAAATCTAAGAAAAATAAACAAGAGCTCTTAAGGAGGAAGAGGCCAGGGATATAGCTCAGCGGCACAGTGAGGTCATGAGTTTGATTTCAGGTACATTAAAAAAAAAAACTTAAGGAGGAATAAGGGGTGGGGGCCAGGAGAAGCATCTTAAATACTAAAGTATATACTATTTCATAATTAAATATCTCCAAATTTAAAAATAGCAGACAGCTCATTTAAATAATAATTTATGCTTAATGTTTAAAGACTTCTCAACAACGCGAAAAGGAGGGAAGCGGCCCAGAAGAAAGCAAAGAGGACCTCAGCAACCAGGCAACTTCATACATGAACCAAGGTAAGAAAAAGCTGCAGGCATGGCCAAGGAGACCTCAGATAAAGGTGGGATGATCTAGATCCACAAAGTCTAGGTTCTAGGTAAGACTGGAGATTTCAGGCCCAGGGCATTC